CAAAGTGAGCGGGGGCACAGCAACGGAAACCTAAACAGCGGCCTTTGGCCTCAGGGTGCCGACCACGGCGATAGCTACTGCGGGCCAACCTGCACGAACAGGAATAAATTGAGTTCCAGGACCAGTTGAAGGAAACTGGAATATATGGACGATTATCTTGGAACATCTTGGTTTGTTTTGTATACATGCACTCAAATAACCTCACCAGCCAATTCCTGGCTTTTGGGATGCAGCTGATTGCATCTGCCCGTGATTGCCCATGTTTTAAAGCCAAGAGGCGCAGCGGGGCCGACCCAACTGCCACCGCGCTCGCTCTTTAGGGCGCCCTCCTCCTCTTCAGCGTTCCAGGCATCTTTCAGGCTGGCCTGCCCGCGAGGCTCGGATAGCCAGTGACAATCAGTGACAGCACCCCCAAGTTATGGCAAGTTTAGTAGGGAAACTGATCATTAATCATGATTAAGATTAACCAATGGATTATATAGGGATCCTATGTTGAACACCTTCAACCAACCGAACTCGGGGACAAAAGTCATTTGCTGCCCGCCTCGGTGCACATGTAGAAATTGGTGTGGTAAGTGTCGCGGCACCATTGCCAAACATTGCCAGCCATGCCTCCCAAACGCCACGAGAACGGGCCGAAAGCGGGTGAGAGAAGATCTCAAGCATGATTATAGCAGCAGAATGTAGCAGATTAAAATGTGAAGGGGCAATACTACCACCACCCATCAAAAAAAATGCCCTTGAGCCATCCAGATCATCCACTGTCAAACAAAAGAATGCCAGTTCCCCCCACAAACCACACAAAAATCAGTTTTCAGTTCTCCTCCCAGAAGAAAGACCAAGGAGAAAAATGTCTTCCAATTTCCCAAAACATCCAGCGCACCTCGGAGTCCAAAGGGTGACACTCCCATCAAGACATTCACCCCGACCAAGGGTAACTCCTCCAGGGGAGTAGCCACATGCGCCGTGACGTTGCCCTTGCTGTCGTAGGTGCTGGCATCCCAGCAGACGTTCAAGAGATCAGGGGTGGCATCCTCCAGGGCGAATCAAACAATCGAAATTGGCGATTTCATGAGAATGAACCAAGAAAAAATGCTGGTACCATGGGATATATGGGATATATGGAGATATACAATGGGGATACCCTCCACTGAAACATGGACCGCAATTAAAAAATCTCGGTTAAATCCATGGAAATCCCGGAGATCTATGAAGGGAATTGTCCCATGTTACAAGAGGGCAAACCCGCCATAGATATTCTTGGGGGAATTGTTGGTACTTATCCCCCAGGGGGTAATAGCTTGGTAAATTGGCGGAGGTGTATTTTGGGGGTTGCCACATTAAGAAGCCAACGGAACTGCAAATTCGGTTTTGGTTAGTCTTAAACCACGCTATCCATTTTGGGTGTCCAATAACATTGGCACATACACATACCATCACATACCTATGTCGTCACATATCTAAATACCATCCATTCAGATGCGTTGACCTCACCCCGTGTCCTCATCTCCCCACGGGAATTGGAGCGTTTCCTGCCCCCGCGCGGCATATTCCCACTGAGCTTCCGTGGGCAAGAAGTGGGCGCTTGCAGCACTCCTGTAGTTGCGCCAATCCTGTCCATGGGCCTTGGCAAACCGGACGCAGGGGCCAGTGCGGAAACATGAAATGGTTGTATCTAGAATGTTTTTTTGGGGGTTGGGGGAGTGGGGCGAAACTAAGGATGATTCATGATTATTCCCTTCAAACATTTAGTTGTCGGTGATAATTCAATCAGATTCGCAGATTTGGGGTTCCCTATTTGGTGATGACTCATAAGCCGAGCTGCCCACAGAGCATAGGCATTGGCTCCATACCAAGAAACCAAGATCATGGGCCAATTGGGTGGCACTCCCATCTTGACCTCACGTCCGACGGGTCGGAAGATAAGGCGTCGCATGAATGGATTGGTGGCGAACCAAACGAAAATTCTCCAAAGTCAGGAAAGAGAAAGTGAAAACAACCACAAACTGTTTGCAAGTCAAAAGTGTTGCATAGCTATTGAACGATTTGGGCTCATGGCTGCCAGGTCTTCCGGGCCTGCCAGCCATCCTCACCCAGGGTCAAGGGCAAATGAGCACAGCGCGCATCTTCCGCAGGCAGAAGGCACCAATCGAACAGCTGGTCTTGATTAGGTTTTGCGGAGTTCAAGAAACGCGCGTATGCACCCAAACTCACCTGACAGGTCGAGTGAAGCCCAACGCAAAACAAAACCTATAGATGGTCAATCGGTCAATGGGGGGTTATCATGCCCACTTCGAAGGAGTTGAACTTGAAAAAGAACTGAAATCATCTAACCTGCCCATTGGTTGGTTGAGTTATCTCACTTTTTTTATGCAGATGAATCCAGCATCATGTCTTGAAACCGCCACCCAGTCACAGGTTCGATGTCCATCAAGAAAGTGCTCAGCTCCACCATGTGCGAGGGTCCTTCGTTTTCGCGGGCCGAAGGGCAGCTGGTGTCATCGCCAATCCGCGCCTGGCCCCCGGGGATAAGAACACTTTCCATGCCGTCGCGGCTGCGCATGTAGCGGGAGGCATCACCTGAGCAATGTTCAAAACCTAACATCTCCATTATACTGGTTGGTTCATTGGGGTTCCCAAAATGGATCATGATCATTCTCCAAATATATATATATATATACAGAGATAGAGATAGATATAGAGATAGATAGATAGATAGATAGATAGATAGATAGATAGATAGATAGATAGATAGATAGATAGATAGATAGATAGATAGATAGATAGATAGAGATAGAGACAGAGATAGAGACAGAGATAGAGACAGAGATAGAGACAGAGATAGAGACAGAGATAGAGACAGAGATAGAGACAGAGATAGAGACAGAGATAGAGACAGAGATAGAGACAGAGATAGAGACAGAGATAGAGACAGAGATAGAGACAGAGATAGAGATAGAGATATAGATATAGATATACATATACATATAATTACATATAATTATATATATAGATATGATATAGATATAGATGTAGCTATAGATATAGATGTAGATGTAGATATATACACATATTGGGTAGCAGAACGATTGTCAACCAACAGGGGTTTAGCAGCCGCTGCTCACCTGCAGGATGATAAGCGCATGGCGCCACTTCACCAGTAAAGGTGGTCAATTGGGTGAAGGGAACGGAGGTCAATGTCACACCTGGTTGAGCAGTACTCGCCTCGGCTGTTGCACCGACACCAAGTGACAAGACCCTTCAAGCTGGTTGATATTCGTATCCGGCAACCCGCCAAAAAAGAGACAAAGTATGATGCTGTGTGATTTGGATGTGTATTTGCATATTATATATATATATCTGTGTGTGTATGTGCGTGGTTGTGAGTGTGCACATGTGTATAATATATAATATGTAAAAAAGATAAATACGCGGCCCATCAACTTGTGAATGTTTGAAAGATCCATGTTCGTGTCTGAAAGTTCCCAGTGGCGCTTTCCACGCTCTTGGTCCTTTGAGTCTTGGGCAGGTCAACAATAGCCTGCGACAATTGCTCGATGGTGGGGTTGTCAAAGACCAGGCGCGGGTCAATCTCCACCTCCGGGAACTCCCGTCCAAGCTCGAAGGCATCCATAATGATACACCTGGAGTCAACCAATGATTACCCTCCGGATCATCAAACATTGCAGTGGAAAATCCCCGAATAAATGAGCATTTCAATGGAACAATCATCTATAAATGGGCCAGAGGTCCATTGCAAAGTTTGAGCACCGCTTGTTTTTGGATTCCTGGAGATACCCTCTGAAAAGAGAAATCCTGTGAGGCATTCGTCAAAAGAAGCACTGTAATAGCAAAGATCATACTCTCACTTGGTGGAAGCGTCTGTTACCTATATAGCATAAGAGTATATATATATATATATTTAAAAAATATATATATAATTATATATATAATTACATATAATTACATATGATTAAATATGATTTTATATAATTATATATAATTATGTATAATTATATCTAAATATATATATATATCTCTCTCTTTGTGTGCGTATGTATGTATTCATTTACTTGTTTGTGCATTTATGCAAACATGTGTATATATAATATACACAGTGTGTGTGTTCATGTGTCTATGTGTTTATTCATTCATCTATGTGTTTATTCATGTCCTACTTTATTTATCGTATTCAGTATTCAATACATTTACTTATCTAATTTGCTCAATCATTTACTTTGTATATAGCACAGTATGTGTTTACTGTTGTTCTTTGTCAATTTGTCAATCTACAAATAATCATCGCACCTGGAATCCCTTCGCAGCAGGATGTTATCATCCGGTCGCAGTAGCAGCTCTGGATCCTCGAGGTCAAAGTCCGTGGGGTCGCTCAACTTGCGACTCAGCGCAGCGTCGCCTTCCTCGTTGGCCGTGCGTTCATTGAGAACGCGCGAGACCTTCTGCATCACCGATTCCAGGACATCCTAAGGTTGTAGAGGCAGAAGCTGCCTTTGGGATATCAAATTGCCCTGGAATATATATATATATATATACATGTATACATACATACATACATACATACATAGATGTATGTATGTATGTATGTATGTATGTATGTATGTTATGTTATGTTATGTAATGTAATGTAATGTAATGTAATGTAATGTAATGTTATGTGTGTGATGTATGTGATGCATGTTATGTATGTTATGTATGTTATGTATGTTATGCATGTTATGCATGTTATGTATGTTATGTATGTTATGTATGTTATGTATGTTATGTATGTTATGTATGTTATGTCTGTTATGTATGTTATGTATGTTATGTATGCTATGTATGTTAAGTAATGTAATGTAATGTCATGTAATGTAATGTAATGTTTTGTTGTGTTGTGTTATGTTATGTTATGTATGTATGCATACATACATACATACATACATACATACCTACATACATGCGTTTATATCTGTGTTATTTATTCACTTACATAACTTACATATTTATTTGTTTGTTTGCATCGCATTTTTCAAAATGATATCCATACAAATATTTTAAAAAATAAGAAAAATGAATTAATAAATGAATAAAAATATAGTATGATACAATATGATATTTAATGGTATAGATAGTATGATTCTGTATGTATATATCTGCGTGTGTGATACCATCTCCAAGCGGAAAAAAAAAATCTAAAAGTTGCAATGTTCTATGACCAACATCTTTGAATCATATGGGTTTGATCCATATTTGTTCCCCTTCTTTGGGCAAATGGAGTTCACTGTCAACCTGACACCCTAAGGTAAACCTGCCCCCCACCCCGGCACTCATGAAGATCAACAGGCAACTCCCCTACTTTGCTAGTTGGTGGTTTCACCTCGTCCCTAGAAAATTAGTCATTGGTGATCAATGGTGATCCTCCTCCCAGGTAAGGACAGAAGATGCCAAACATTGAAAACACCAAGGAATTGCAACACCATGTCTGTTGATACTATCATCATGTCTTATTGCTTTTGTTCGTAGACTGGCCAGAACAGATGAATTATATGTACAGTATTTATAGGTGCAAGTTGCAAGAAAACACAAACTAGAAAGAAGATTCCCCTATATACTATAGAACCAGCATCTACCGGTCGCCCAGTAAGGTGGTCATCGCTCAGATATCAGATATCCCAAGACCCAACTGCCACCGGCTGCCACCGCGTCTCTTGAGCTCGTTCTCGCACCTCTGGCGGCGCATCTTCCGGCAACATTACTGGCTATCCAAGCTGCGCAGGAGCTTAAGAGCCGTGGAAACGCCATGTCATGCCATGTCCAGCAACGGAGACATCGTGGATTTTCCCGTGACCGCATTTACCAAACAAAGAGTAGATTGACTGTATTAGTGGTGCTTTTTCACCTGCCAAAAGTGGGAGCTAAACGACGACATGTTTTTTCTGCGGTCCACTACTTTGCTTTAGACCCGATCCACTGGGAGATTCTATTTTGTGCTGTGTTTTTGATGCGCTTGGATATGCCAACACTGTCCCCGCCGTGACGTTAGCTGCAGCAGCCTTGGCTTGCGGCTGCTGCGGTCGTGACCCAACTTCTTTCAAACAGATGGGGCTGCGGCGCTGCCAGTGGCCATGCTGCCCCCTTGAGAGGCAACACAACCAAATGATCCTCAACGTTAGAGGAGTTCACTGAGTTCATATTCATTTTCTAGCAGGCTTGGGCGCTTGATGGTTCACCTTCCTGTAGCATGGTTGCAGTCGTGATTGTGATCATTGTCAGTCATAGAATGTCAGCAGTTGCCCAACCCTGCAGTTTAGTGCCTGTGCCAAGCACTGTTGCCACCATTGACATGTGCAGTGATGCTGCAACTCCCATAAAACTGTGGGCTGCAGCACTCAGTCTCAGCATGGTAGGCAACACTCAAAACTCCCAGTGGGTTTCCAAGGTACATGACCAGGTCAGCAGAAAAAGCAGAAATGCGCACGGCGCTCTTGCGACACCAGAAATTTCCTGGAAACCCTGGGGCATGCACACTAGATGCCATGGCAGCTGGCGCTTTGCGACCAGAACTGCCTGGCTCAAAAAAAAACTGCCGCTGCTCCTGTTCGAAGCTGCATCTCTGGCTGGTTAAATCGCCTCCTACAAGGATATGCATCAATTCTCTTCAGCCTGTCATCCAAAACTTGAAACGGAAAAATCCAGAGTCTGTTTTGAAGGCACCAAATCGTTACCTACTGGTAAATGTTGCAACACCATTTTGCTGGCTGATATCTCCATGATTCTTTTATGTTGTGAACAGAAAACGGTTGGAGCTGAAAACCGCCAGAGTTGCTCCCGTGTCTCCATCTCACAGCCGCCGCCGGGTTGAGCTTCCATCACAAGCCATGTGAGTTCCCAACTGGCCTCGGAAACATGGCTTTGTGATATCTTCTGGAAAAAATCTACCATTTCCATCCATTTCCTGTGGGATTTGCAGGCCACCCAGCTCACATCCACCAGATATCATCATTCATATCTTTGTTTCCACCTGGGTCGTCCTAATGTCAACTCCTGGGCACTGCACCTTGGCCATCTGACTTCGGGACCTCAGTTGATCGCTCGTAGCAGATCCCTGGCGCCAGACCCCCCGCAGTCAAAACACGCCAGACCCCCGCAGCACGCCGTGTATTTCGTCGAGCTCCAATTCAGTCCTTGCAAAATGTAATAATGTACATTTGCCGCTTTCGCGCAACATGTAAGCACGCACCCCGTGCGTCCGACATCCCATCGCTTCAAAAGTGGAGCCAAAAATCCATGATCGGCCCATGTTTGCTGAGAATTTTGGGCGTCAAGTGTTTAGGATGCTTAGACTTAGAAACCAACTTCTGGCACTGATCCCTGTGTTGTCGCCCCAGTCATATTTTAAGCTGTTTGAGATGTACCTCGCCTGTGCGTTTTCACATGCGCCGCCTCCCCAGCTGTTTCAGCCTAGGAATGTTTCAGCGTCTCAGCTTGGCATCGTGTAGCTGGTGTAGGTCTGGGGCACCTGGCGCTGGGATTTCTTGCCATCCATGGTGACTTCGGTTCTGTTTGGGATTTGATGCACGAATGCCTATTTCAAAATTTGAGCACTGGTCAAAACCCTGAAGCGGAACCAGGATGGCCATTGATGGCCATGATCCCCCCATGCCAATTCCCACACCCTGCCCATGCCACCAAGCAGCAGTTTGAATTGGGATAGGAGAGCTAATGCGCACCGATCCACTAGAAGCGGGGACACCCCCAGCTGTGTAGGCCGAAGGGAGAGTGGTAGTGAAGACATTAGCACCTGGAGCAGGGTCGCTGGGAACGGATACTATGACCAAAAAAATACTGATGGCAACATACAGATTATGAATGTCTATCTGATTCAAGAGGCCCAAAAAAAAATATGTAAATTACTGAAATAGGATGTGACATCATCAGCAAAAAATGGCACCAGCAATGCGATAGCTCTAAATATTGACATATCTGTAATCATATGCAAATAGACAAAGGTACATACACATTATGTATTGCTCTTATGTATACATTGATATCAATATTCATATCAAGATTGGCGTTCAAATTCATAGCAATATCAATATCAGTATTCATTTTTTGTACCAATATCAATATCTAATATTATCAATATTGATCTTAATAGCAATATTAATATCATGTAACTATGTTGTTTTTGCATGTAATACTGAGCCATCCTTTCTGATTCCATTTCGGAACCCCCTGGCAAACTTCACCGGCCTGGACTGGTAGCACCCACCGGATAGCTTGGCAGCTGGGTGGCGTAGGCTTGCGGGGAACTGGGTTGCAGCAATGGAAGCTGCATGCCGTACGGCCCTGCCATAGAACATCTCCATGAATCATGCAACATGGGGGGGTGGTGAACCAATGAACATGCGGATATAATGTGATTTAATGAAGGTTTGACCCATGAAAATCGTGCTAATGATGGGCATCTAATGGGTGGTTAACCCACAAAAAACGGTGACACTATGGAGATTTAACAGAGGGTGAATGGGGAGATAATGTTTAAACTTGCAGGGATACCATATACACTTGCTGGAGGTGTGCCATTTATCTCTATTACTAAACCGAATTATCATTCGGACAATGCCCTTTAATCTCGAACCCCAAATTAATCAAACCAGGTGGATCATTTTGATGGAGTTACCCTGAAAAGTGACAATAATTGACAATAATACCAGTAGTACCGCACAAGGCGGTGGCGGAAGTTTCAAAAATTCGAAACCTGTAGGAAAGGTTGGTTGTTGTGAATCACGGCGAAGCCACTGATGGACTGAAAGGTGCTTGAGGTCTCCTCTTTTCCTCTCTCTCTCTCGCTTTCTCTCTCTCTCTCTCTCTCTCTCTTTTTCTCTCTGTTTCTCTATCTTTCTCTGATTATCTACCTACCTACCTACTGATCTATCTGTCTATCTATCTATTTCTCTCTCTGTCTATCTATCTCCCTATGTATTTATCTAGCTGTCTATTTTTCTAGCTATTTGTCTATCTACCTATCTATCTGTCTATCTATCTATCTATCCATCGATCTATCTATCTATCTCTCTCTCTTTCATCTAATTACCTATCTATCTATCTACCTATCTATCTATCTATCTACCTATCTATCTATCTACCTATCTATCTATCTATCCATCCATCCATCTATCTATCTATCTATCCATTTATTTGTCTATTTGTCTATCTATCTATCTATCTGTCTGTCTGTCTGTCTGTCTGTCTACCTGTCTATCTGTGGTGCAGTGTCATTCAGTGTAATGTAGTGTAGTGTAATGTAGTGTGGTGTAGTGGAGTGTGGCGGAATGTAGTGTAGTGTAGTGTAATGTAGTGTAGTGGAGTGTGGCGGAATGTAGTGTAGTGTAATGTAGTGTAGTGTAGTGTAGTGTATTTTAGTGTAGTGGAGCGTAGTGGAGTCTAGTTGTGTAGTTGTAGTTGTAGTTGTAGTGTAATGGAGTGCAGTGTAGTGTAAGGTAGAAGTGTAGTGGAAGATAGTGTAGTATAGTGTAATGTAGTGTAGTGGAGTGTAGTGTGGTGTAATGTGATGTAGTGTAGTGTAATGTAGTGTGGTGTAGTGTAATTTAGTGTAGTGGAGCGTACTGGAGTGTAGTGTAGTGTAATGTAGTGTACTGGAGTGTAGTGTAGTGTAGTGTAATGTCCTGTAGTGTAGTGTAGTGTAGTGTAGTGTAGTGAAGCGAAGCGACATCTGAACCTCCAAAAGTGGTCCAAACCCCTAGTGTTTTGAACATGTTCACTTCGAAATGTGCTTTGCGCCACAACAGCGTGCACTTTTTCGACATCTCAACCTCCAAAAGTGGTCCGAACCCCTAGTGTCTTGAACATTTTGACTTGCTTCGCGCCATAACGGCGTGCACTTTTTCGACATCTCAACCTCCAAAAGTGGTCCGAACCCCTAGTGTTTTGAACATTTTCACTTCGAAATGTGCTTTGCGCCACAACAGCGTGCACTTTTTCGACATCTCAACCTCCAAAAGTGGTCCGAACCCCTAGTGTCTTGAACATTTTGACTTGCTTCGCGCCACAACGGCGTGCACTTTTTCGACATCTCAACCTCCAAAAGTGGTCCGAACCCCTAGTGTTTTGAACATTTTGACTTGGAAATGTGCTTCGCGCCACAACGGCGTGCAATTTTTCGACATCTCAACTTCCAAAAGTGGTCCGAACATGGTGTGTTTTGTACATTTTGACTTCGAAATGTGCTTCGCGCCACAACGGTGTGAAATTTTTCATCTCTCATCTGGCCAGCGGGCTCCGCACCCGCCGCTTTAGCGAGCCTACTTTTCGACCCTCCTGAGCCACAAATCATTGGAAAAAAACAGTGTTTCGCGACTTTCCTACCTTTTCGCGCATCTGCATCTTCTTTCTTCTGACTCTTTCTCTTCTACTCTTCTCTCTTCTAATCTTTCTCTTCTCTCTGACCCTTTCCATCTCTGCTTTTCATCTGTCCATATTGTCGGAAGTTTGACTTCTAAACTTCCTTCGAATAACAAGAATAATGAACCCTCACTTGACATGTATAGTATGTGTATCTCCATATGTATTTATATATATATATATATATAATATCGGTGTGTGTGTGTGTGCTCGCACATGCAATGAATAAATACGTACATATGAATATGCATATATATATTATATCATTTGTATATATACTTATTTCTATATATATATGTAATTTATGTGTATATATATATATGTACATAACATTATAATACATTATATACATGGTTATGTGTATATATATATATGTATGCATAACGTTATTTAACTATCTGTAAATATAACTTACATATATGTACACACCCATTCACTGCTTCCTGGTCATAATTCCTGGCCTCCTTGGACTCCTCCGACAGACACGGCCGAGGCCGAGGCGACCTCGGTTTCGCTGGATGCAGTTGGTTAATACAAAGCTGATTGATCAGTCCTTAATATTCCTTAATAAACATAGATATTTCCTGTAACCATAGATATTTCCCAAAGATATTTCCTTAATATCCTCTTAATATTCCCATAGATATTTCCTATAACTAATATGGCTTTGTCTCATTTTGTCAAACGGAAAAGCCATCATCCCAATGAAATTGTCCATTTGGAAGGTCTACATGGGTATACTCCTCATGTCAAACATCACCAGGAAAATGGGAAAATCATCCGAAATCGTGGAAGGTCATGCAGCGGATTTGTTCAGCTGACCACAAAGGTGCCTTGCCAAATGCTAAGCAAGCTGCAGTGTTGCTGGGAATCCCAAATCCCACGTTGGGCATTGGCAAATGGGGCTCATCTAGCCCAGCAATCTTCAAGGAAGTGCCTGCAACCAAAGCAGAGGTGCACTTGGGTTATGATCCCAATGCTTGGGTTACGATTTCAGTAAGGAATATTTAGGATACGATCCCAACAGCTGTCCTATGGCATGGTCCCAACAATCATGTCACGATCCCAATGGTTGGGTTCTGAGCTCAAATCGGGCCTCGGAATGTCAAAATTCGGGGAAAAGCTGTAGAAACATTGGTAGCTTGGTCAGCTTGGTATCTCCAATCCCCTGCCAGCCTGTAGCTCCAAGCTGGCCCGTTGTTCCGAGCTGGTCTGGCATGTAGCCCGAAATTGGAGGAACCTGGACAGTGAAAAGCTTCACAAAATCCAGGAACTTCCAGTCCTGGTGGGTTCCTTTCAACCCGACAGAAAAGACTGCGTGAGTCTGAAGTACCTTGAGAAATTATCTCAAAAATAGCTAAGTAATTAGAGTAACTAGAGTAACTGGGATCCTGGTGGTGCCAACCTATTCCATCAAAAATCGGTTGATCACCTCGGGCCTCATCATTCCAGATTTATTTGGCTGATGAGGCATACAATTGAGCCTCGAAATTCTTCAAATCAACAGCCCAATGACTGTGACAATCTGCAAATTGGACAGTGCCCAGATTTCCGATTGGTAGATCATGATGCGTAAACTTGTATATGAAAAGTGAACAACCGACATTGGGCTGAGCAGGTATGAGTAAGGTTCTCCCAATTAAGGACCGCCATTAATCACGTATAATAATTTAATATTTATATATTAAAAAAATGGAAACCCATCACTCTTTCAAGCCCGCGAGCGGAGCCTCAGAAGATGCACTGGCACGTCCAGGTGCTGACATTCCATACTCCGCATCCATCTCCTCTACAGAGATCGCCCATTTTTCGGGTACGAACAGTATGAGTCATGCATACGAAGTAACAATCAACGGTCTGGAAAAAAATAAATAATTAGATATCACATAAACGGTGAAATACTTATTTTATATATATGTGTGTGTGTGTGCATATCCATTGGGATCATCCCAAACATTTGAAAATTGTAAACGCTTGATTGAAACCATCAAGCCAATCAGAATGCGATATGCTCCCGTTCTGCTATTCCACCCCACTGGAATTTGCAGAACGGATCCCAGAAAGCCGAGCTGCTAATGCTGCTAAAACGGCAAATCAAAAACCGGGGTACTGAAATCCCAGCATGTTTTCTTTGTGGTGTTTCCAACTTTCTTTAGCAGAAGCACGATGATCAGACGAACTCCTGGCGGCCGTAGCCAGGACGATCTTCAAAAGGAGGCCTGTCCTCCATGAAATGGGAATCAAATGGAGCTGGGTTGATTGTGACATGGATATGTGGCCGTGGCTCAGAAAATAAGGGCGCCAAAGGAACCCCCGAAATTGGTCAACCTTTCGTATGAAACGATCCGCTTTTGGGGGTAAATACGTTCGAGCCATATTCCACATTATGAGTCACCTACCACTCATTGTCTTCCTATGGCCAGATCCATTGTCGCAACTCTTTGAAGATAAGCCCAAGAACGGTTCATGGAAATTGCCATCTGCTGTCTGTTGCACTCCTGATCATGCTCGTGCTCCTCCCCATCATGCTCTTCAGTGTACTCCTCGTCATCCTGCAACAGTTGAAGCCAGTAGCCACGCTTGTCATGTGTGCTGTGGTCAAAACATTGCAGATTGGTTATGGTCATCCTAACATGATCGAGAAGCCATGTGTTGGCCATTCTAGCTGCTGTTAATGGTGCTATGACCGTCCCCCAATATGGGTATGACCAAGCCCCTATATGGAAAAATAAGACATGCTTTGAGCATGGCACATATGGTCTATCCAAGGACGGGTCCCTACCCAAACACCGTGATGGTTTTCATACCAAATGGTGATTTGGAGCTCCCAAAGTGTTGGAAAACAGCACTCTTGCCCCCCCGCCCATGCCCCCATCTTCGAACTTCAACATTACCCTTGTTGGTTTTCGGTACATCTTATCCTGCTATTTAGGATTTGGGGAACATGCATGCACCCATCATTACCATATTTGTGTCAAACTCTGAGACCTACCTCCACTACAAGTTCCATATACCCTTCTTCTTGCTGGTTGCATCGCTATTTCTGTACTGAAAAATCCCGCGTCCATGAAATCCTGGTTAAATCCTGGTTAAAGAACCATTTCGCTGGCAATCCTCATATATCCTCAAGTTTTGATGCTGGAAATCCCCATGTTTCTCCTTGGTTCCTGGTTGGAACATGTCGAAACTATGCAGTAACTTGGTGACCAGCCCACCATGGTATGGCCATGGTCGCCTCACCCTTCATGGCCACTTCGGCTCGCCGGGAACGGCGGCGCTGGACTTGGCACCAGGGGGCGGGGGACTCCACCAGTCACTCCTGATATATATATATATATATATGATTATATATGTGTGTGTATGTATGGATGGATGGATGGATGGATGGATGGATGGATGTATGGATGGATGGATGGATGTATGTATGCATGCATGTATGCATGCATGTATGCATGCATGCATGCGCATACAGATAAATATAGATAGATGGATGATTGATAGATGTATATATACTGTCTTCCATCTATCTTCCTTCCATCCATCTGTCCATCCATCCTTCCATCTATCCATCTACTTTTTTGGCCATTTATCTCTGGGTAGTTTAAAGGAAAAATCTGCAAGAAACTATGGTTGCTACCCTCAAATATAGCGCTTTCCTGCAGATGTTCCGTCTAAAAATAGGATCCCCCATTCCATTAGTTGGTTTTCCCCCAAGTGGTGGCGAGGCTAAAGGCGAGCCAGTGGCGCCCCCTGGATGGAATATGATGGAATGAGGTCGCCCAATTTTCGGACAACATTGAGCCAAATGACATTGGGTATCAAGATTGGGTATCCATATTGGGCGTTAATTTTGGTATTGCTGGGCATCATGATTGGCATTAGTTGTGAATATCCACATGTAATTGAAAGGGGGATGTAGAATAGAGATATACTGATGTGCTTATAAAATAAATGCATCTGCAACCTGAAAGCGGAAATTAGATGAAATTAGCCTTTGTTATGGGACCCACAGGACACGCCCAAATCAAGCCAAGGGTCTATAATAAAGGCCAAAGCAACCGGCAATCAGCAATAGGAAAAGCAAGGCCATTACCTCAGCGACTGAAAGGGCAACATCCGCGGATGCAGCAACTGCAGGACAAATAGGTTGCCATAGATGTCCAGTCACAGGTCCAGCCTATCTGGTCATAACTGATGATTGATCATTGATATTCCTGTTTTTTTTATCGAGATAACTCATGATGGACTTACTTGACCAATTTGGAATGATCAATGATACCCTCTGGTAAACTAACATAGCTATTGAAAATGACCATAGAAATAGTGGATTTCCCCATTGAAAATGGTGATTTTCCATAGTTATGTTAAATGATGTGTGATAACCTCGAAGGTTCGGATGTCACCTTAGCTGAGACCACCGGCCCAGGGAAGCCATGGCTTGTTCTGGCAGGCACCGCTACTTCGGAAGTTCATCACTTGCAGCGCGATACCTCCGGACATCTCTGAGGTAACCCAAGCAGTGAACTGATTTCATCACTGTCTTGAGAACGGATAATGGATTATAGATGATTATAGTGACTAAATCCCAATTATCTCCCTCTCAAATTCATATGAATCCCAATGATACCAACATTAAAATCATATCAAATCCCAATAAATGATTGGTTTAATCACCATTTTCTTGGAGAAAAACTGCCCATGTTTCAGACCCACATGCTCCACGGCTAGTGGCCTTGATGAGCACCTTCGCTAAATCGGCTCGCAGGGATGCGGTAGTCGCACATGTCCTCGGCTCTCAGCATGAATAACAACCTGAAACCACGAAAAGGTATGAAAAATTATGAAAATAATTGAAAATCATGAATCGCACATGCCCAAACCTCGAAAATGTCTGAAAGTGATTGGCAATCATCAGTCAAACATCCTTAAACCTCGAAAACAAATGAAAATAATTGAACATCATTCATCAAAGATCAATACAACATCCTGCAACCTCGACAATGTACTTCAGCTGACTTCCCTTGGGCTCAAAATGCCCACATATGCCCACAGCACACTTGGAAATCAACACCTGGCTTCAGCATCCCCAAAAGCCGAAGGGGCGAAGCAAGCGAAACCGTGCTTCTCATCCCCCTTGACCACACAGAGACCACGGCCGTAAGGCACTTTGAACTGATGTCGCAGATTCTTGGGGCAAGCGTCACCTGCAACCAGTGGGCGCCGCCTTTCTGTTGACCCAAAAATCTGCCCTTGATCACTGGATGTGTCTGAAAATGCGCTCATACACCATCAAAATGACTGTTCTCAACCATTGGGTTTTGGATGATTTTGGAGGTGTCCCATCATTTTCTCACAACGCCCGCGGGATTTTCCGATGGTTTCCTATGAAAAATTGGGTATTTCCGCTCCAGCATCACCACGAGGCCGGGCCTATGGGGCACTGCATGGAGGTCACTGTGAGCTGAAGCTGCTTGGGGCAGGTGACATTGTTATTTAGCCCGGCGCGCACCTGTGAAACCAACTCCTTGGGATGACGGAGTGCCATAAAACCAGCAGCTTGGTCAACTGAGAATTCACCGATCCTCTATGAATTCAACAGGTTGCTATGGAAAATGGATGAGAATGGCCTATTTCCTTCGATGATTTACCGTGTTTTGAGAAATGGTGATTTTCCATAGCTGTGTTAAATTATCGGAGGAAATTCAACTTTGAGCCAATCCCAACTTTCGAAGTGAAACGAACTTAACATGCTAAGGGCCGGGCAGATGCCACGAAATTCATCACATCAATTTGACCGCCACCAGCCACCATGTAGTCTGAGGCATTGTGAGACCTGAGCTCGTGTGCCCAGCGCAGAATTTCACAGCACTACCATCTCAGGACATGCTGTTGCAGACCTATGCCCAGGTTCGGGTTTTTTTGGTTTGGAGAAGGCCACCCTTCCCTGACCAACACTGCGAGACTGTAGGCTTCTTTTCCCCACTTTGTCTAGATCAATTGTAGTCCATGAAGTCACTACCGGTGCCCGGAAGACGTTCCGAACCAGCTGCACCCAAGACAAGCAGCGGATTGCAAACATCCCAACCTGAGCCAGGAAGTCAAGCGGAGCCAGAAGGAAAAGGTGACCACATCACTGCCATACTGCCCACCTGGGTCACCTGACACCAATGGCCCAGCTGTGGCCAAGGCACACTGGGTTCCACCCATTTGCGGCACTGAAACACAAATGCCTCTGTTCGGAAAGTTTCCCCGCAGCGGACAATTCCTCGGAGCCACATGAAGGTCAGAACCGCTGCCATAACTTCACAGTTGCTGATGTTGCTGCTTACGGATTCACTTCAATGTCTATTTGCATGTGGTCGGATGTGGTCGGTAATGCAATTAGAGAGGTAGACGTTTCTCTGTTTGTTGTTCTCCTGCCTCTTCTTCGCCATCTCTTTTTGTATCCTTCTTCTTTTCTGGCTCCCGCTTTCTGACTACAAAAAGGCTATGGCATGGTAACCAAGTATGCTGGTTCGGCCAACTTCCGCCCTGCTTGGTGCGTCAAAGTTTCTGCATAATTGTGCATGACTGTGACACATCTGGACTGTAAAGCGATGTCAAGGGGATCGTAGTCGTCGTATCTTGGCGTGGCGGGGAGAAAATGTCGGTTCACACAGGGGAAGTTCATTCATTCGCAGTCGCAAGTGTGAGAAGAACCCCCGCCATGTATCTCATTTTTACCCGTGTCTTAATTACCCTTTCAATCCAAACCAGCAAATCCTTTGGCCAGAATTGCGGCCACTCCACCGGCATGCCTGTCTTGAGTCTCGAGGACAAACCCCAAAAGAACCGGAGCAGCATGTACTGAATGCAATGGAGAAAGCCAGTAATTCGGGGTAAAAGTAGTGCGAACTGAAAATAACAAGGAACCCCATCCAGCTCATCCCATGTTTAATTCCAGCCGGTTCTGATCATGTCCTGGCACTATATGCGAAATTTGGGGAATTGTCTGATTTCAACCACAACTCGGCTGCACCTTGTCCAATTGCTGGAACGAACAGAAGCAGGGCGATGAACCTTAGGCTCTTGAGTATCTCAGCCCCTCTTGCATATCCAAGGATAACCCATAGGTTTACCACAAATTCTGTCTTGGATCCAAGGCACATGCTGACAGAAGATGCGGCCCCGGGCTTCTCTTTCACACACATGGATACTTCTCTGGAGCCAAATGGACATGATCGCACCATGGTAGAAGTTCGCACGTATGAATGTAAAGCATCACCCCAAATGGCAGGGTCTCGGGATCCCATTTCAGGTGATGTGTCACAACCCCCTCAGCAACATAGCACATATTTCATGTCATCCCATTTGCGTGCGCCTAAATTTGTGTAGACATACGCGTATGATCGCGTATGTATGTGTAAATGTGTTTGTGTGTGTGTGTGCAAGTGTAGCGTGGCAATTTCTTCATTCTATATCTGATTATCTCGGTTCCCACCCTACTTTTTTGAAGCAACAAATCGAAGAACCCTTGGTTGGTGGCTCACCCCAGGAATCATAAGTGGCTTATATAACTCACCCTAATTGCAACTGGGCATTGCCCCTACTTACCCTATACTATACTGGTTTGAAAAGTGGGAACTGACCCCATGTCCCACTATGTCATTTTTCATTTTTTCTTATAATCCCAGTATGGTTGGTATATACCCATATTTCCCATGGAATATCACCATGATGTTTGATTACAACATCTCCATTTTTCCCCATAGATCTCAGTTGCCGCACCAATGTGGCCACCATGGCCATAACTTGCCGCATCTCGTGCCGGAGGCCCTCAATGGCCTCGGCCTGAAGCCGGGAGTCCCTTCAAAAAATGGGAGGCTTCAATGGGAGTTTTACCCATCAATGGCTAGAATCATGTTGATTCGGAATGATTCATGTATTGAATGGTGGGACTAAGCCTGGAGATTCTTGGACCCAAGCTGACTGGACCTGAGTTACGTAATTTAGCATCAACATGGTGATTTCACCATAAAAATTAATTATTTAAGAATGGAAGGCTCAACCACTAATAATTCAAAGCTTCTGGAAAACCACAGGAATCATAGATATAGAAAAAAGTTTGCTGGACTGTGAGATAACCTTCTCGATAGTGCAGTGTATCAAATGGGTACAGTGAACCAACATAGACAAAGGAAACGGGGATTGCAATGGATTCAGCTGAATGATGGGAATGGATTTAACCCACACATATATGGTGATTTAAGGAACAAACATGGGGGGGTGGTACTGAACGTGATAGTGGGTACATAATCCAGATTGGAGTGTGCTGGATGAATGCAGCGTGGCAAACCCAACAATAAGCCACCCCAAATTTTACGTACGAGGTTCCATGTTGCAGATTTTAAATGATCACCCATACGCAGCAAACGACTCTCCGGCCACAGCCATGCCCTTTTTCAGAGAAACCAGGGCAGAACTGCTGCAGATTGGCTACTCCAAGTATCCTTGCCCACCCAATTTGTTGCCAAGAGACCTGCATGTCAGCATTGGCTTTGAGTGCTGACATGCTGACCTTAAGGGGTGATGAAGTGAAAAAACACTCAAGATATCTCAAGATACTCAAGAATGTTTCATCTGTGATAGGTTTTGGTGCAGCTTGGGTGCTGTGAGTTGTTGCTTCCAAACATCCTGCAACGAGAATTTAGCAAAGCCAACTCAATACTTCAAACTTCAAACGCACCAAGTTTCGTCATGGGTGGCCCGTGGTGCACCCCAGAATGGAATGGTTTCCCTTGCGACTTCACGCATGTCACGCAGTTCACCCTGCTCAATCCTCGTCAACCTTCACCTTCCAGTCGGTTGTCTTGCGCGTGGTCGCGCGTTTACATGTCAAGTTCTCAGATCTCCTTAGGAGGAATCGTTGCAGCAGGAAACCCAGATATTTTCTATGCAAAAGTCATCTTGGGAAATTCTACACAACTACTTGCAGTGACATATAAAATGATCTAAATATCATGGCATCTGATGGTTCCAGGTGAGCCCTTTTCCTGGTGATCAAACTTCAAGCCGAGCCTCTGAGGACCCATGGATCCAAGTGAAAGGGAGCCGAGGGTTTCGCTCACTTCACCAGAGGAGGAGTGCCAAGAATGCCTTCCTTGTTGGAATGCTGAGATAATTTTGAGAAGTTTTAACTCCCAACTGGCCAACGGGTTCTGGTTGCTTGAGTCCGGTTTTTATTAGGACCATCATCTTAGGTAAGGAACATTTTGTGGAATTGAAACCACCAGCTAGGGGGTTCAAAAACTTGACTAACGAGGTGGTGATAAACCGAATACAGCCTCCTCATGATGTTGGGACACCAAAAGCAAGAGTCTTGAGAAATCCAAGGGGCCATGTGCCATGCCTCAAATTATAACTGGCCCATGAGGACCCCCAATGCATTTCAGATTCTGACATCAGAACGGAATGCTGCGAACTCCTCTTCGTGGCCATCTCGTTTTTCTTCCTTTTCAGCCTGACACTTGCTCCACAGCAATCAGACTGTGAATGATTGATCTTTGAGCTGTAGATAGCTGTAGTGATGTCACCTTTTTGTGATGTGTTGTGTGTGTTTTTTTGCGGATTGCGGGGTTGACTCAGGACGACTCACCCAAAGACCCGTCCCACCCAAGGCTCCTTGCGGAGTCTGATGTATCTCTGCAAGCGTTTTGCCGCCAACACACCTGGACAGAACACCGCTTTTTGGGTACGGATCAAGCCATTCCGTAAACCCCAAATGTTGGATGAATTTGCTACTAAAACTGACCAGAATCTGTGTTTTCCAAGGTTTGAAACATAAATAAATGTGTGCACCTATGTGCATGTACACACACACATATATATATATAACTTTCTATATAGATGGATAGATGAGTGTGGTTTGATGCTTCATCCCAACTTGCTGTTGCTACATGACCTACATGTAGCTGATCTCATCTCAGTTGAGACACGGTAATTCAGCATGCGCCCGTGCGCCGCTTGCAATCGGCAGCGTAGAGCTTCGCGACGGATGGATTCGCCATGCCATGCTGCATTGAATCTGCAGGAAACAAAAACTTGGCAGGGAAGGGAAATCTCCGAACTAAATTGGCATTTAAACGGGAGAATCTATCAATGGGCTATGATACATCATAATAATAATGATAATTTAATGATAATAATAATGGTAATAATATATAACAATAATCAATAACAATATATAACTAACAATAACATCGGTATAAGTATAACCATAGGCCCCCTATCTTCCCACAGACATCCCCATATCTTGCAACATGTCAGGACCCATCATGCAGGACCAATGCAGGCGCATGTATCATATGGTATACCGTCTCAGACCCACATTGCCAATTTAAAAGGGAAAATGATCATCAACCAGCGTGTAGTGGATGAAATGAGATGTTCCCGTAAAATTTAAGACGCAACCTGGGGTTGTCTGAGAATGGGGTACCCCCAAATGAATGGTGAATCATCAGTTTTTGCCATGGTGCTGAGGGAATTCTGCGCACAGCCGCATGTAGTGCTCCCGGGGCAGACGAAGTGCATGGCCCCGGTCGGATTCGCACCGGGCGGTGGCACGGCGGAACCTGAGAGCCATGGTAACTGAAGTGATCAAGGAGTGGTCTTCAATGACATCCCTGAACTTGGAGCAACCATGACCTGGTTGTTGCAGAGCCTGGTTTCAATGTATTGATTTGAGATGATTTAAGGATGAGTTTACAGGAAACAATGGTTTTGAACACCCGTCCTAGAAATTTCCACCAATTCTGGGATGGATGCTTTTGTTGGCTTCAATACATGTGCCATGCAGCTGCTTCAGCCCGCAATGCAGCTCGAAGTTGCCGAAATAGCCTCAGTGCTTGGCAGTGAGCACACCTTTGAATCGTCCTCTGCGCTGCAGGCATGATGGACTAGCCGTTGACTAACCAAAAATAGTCATGGCCATGGCCATGTGAGCTCATCCCTTCTTCAGTTATCTCAGCTTCAGTTTTGCCCCAAGGCTATTCTCTTTGCCCAGCAGCTTCTGTGCGAAAAGAGCTGGTAGGGCCACATCTCCTGAGCCGAAGCACCATCCATCAAACCTCCCAAGTGGAACCGCTCAACGGCCAGCAGCCAAGGTACGTTGGCCCGTGGGCTCTTGCTGGGCCGCTCTGGCCGAGCAACAAAGGCAAAGGTTCCGCTGAGCACCAGATACATGTGGAAGGCTGAGTCCCCTGGCGTGACACGCTGAGTTGCTGTCGCAGAATAAGCCATAGATTGTTCTTGGAAACCAGTTCAAGACCGAGGTTCAAGAAATATGCAAAAAAAGCAGTGATGAAGAAAAGAGGGGACTGATTGAATGGGACTTTGCGGTGCCCTTTTGTTCAACATATTCCAACGCACCAAGCCCACTTCCAGCCTGCTTGGTACAACAGTTGACCTGACTCGTAGGACTTGGGCATCAGGGCCAAGGAAAGCAGCAGGGGCAGGCGCGGTGGAGTCACCACAAATGGAATCTGAAGAAACCTCACAGCAGAACATCCCATGGTCACCCGGTGCATCCCAGCTTGTAGTCGATGACCGTTAAACAACCATATCATAACCCAGTTTACATGTGGAATGATATACTCCAATTATAGCTGTATATACTGGCATATCAACCATTGACTATCTGGAATGCACGTCCAAGTGGTCACCATGATCCCAGACGATTCCAAAAAGCGTAACAAGGGACGTTGACCTTCACATGACTCCCTTCTCCTTGGCTTCTTACTGCACACCTCCTGCCCTGCCGCAAACAGACATTGCACTGGGAATATTAAATTTCAACATGGGAAAATCATTTCGATCAACGGAAAATTGTGGGGAATTGCCTAATTTTCCGGGCAGCCATATTTACCTACTCAATTTTCCAGGCAGCCATATTTACTTAGTCTAGGGTGCACTTTGAAACTCCTGCTGTGTACACCCACTGGAGCACATAGAACACCAAATCGAACCACCCAAGAGTCCCAAAACTCATCCAAATCCTCTAAAATCTCCAGACCCAAATCTTCTAAAAAATCATCCAAATCTCTTGGGATTCCGTCCCTCCACGGTGATTCTACTCCCATCCTCCCACCAGAACTCAGCTGCAGCTGGGTGACACATTTCGCGCCAGCTGACCTTGAAATAGCCGGCCCTGAAGTTCCTTCCTAGGCAGCTGAGGGGTCCTGGATATGACGCCATGACCAAGGTCTTCAAGGCCAAGATTTACCATAGTATCATAGTGGGCGAAAATCGTAATGTCAGCCAGGCATCATCAAGGTCACGGGCATGTCGTTTGCCACCAGCTGGTGCATCTCATCCATCTTGAATTGCTCCGTCATCAAATCGCGGGCGTTTTGTTCCAACCAAAAGGATAGCCTCAGCTGGGCAATGAAGGCCTGGAGTTCCCCCAAAAAAATGCCAAAGTCAGATTGCCATCATCATCGATTGCCATTGGTCCATCATCACCCTGTGGTGCCCGATCTTACTGGAGCTGCAGCAGGGAAACACCTTTGCTCCGGCAGCATCCAGATTGGCATGGGCTGCAAATTCCTTCGCCAGCTTCAGCTTGTTTTTCAGGAAGGTGTTCACCTACCCAGGGACCCAGGGCGACGCCGGGAAAGGTACATCTCATGCCGGGCAACAAGATATGGTCCAAACCATCAGCATTGGAACATATAATATCAATAATCTCATATACTAATTTACCAGTCATATAATACTGGTCAAAAAATATGTATTACTCATAGCGTTACTTATCTAATCTTACAAAAATTACTGCTTCTAATACCTTTTAATGGGTGTTCCTGCAGATTTCCCAGGAAGCAACAGCAAGCCAATCCATGACCCACCCTTGAAAAACCGCACCGTGTTGTCGCTGGTGACCTCGCCGATCACCTGCGAGGTGCAGGGTTCCAGATCAAATGGATAAAAATATGTCTTATATATGCATCTAATGTGTGTGTGTACATTATGGGTCATATGTGTGATATACAATAATGTGCTTTATATTTATCTTGTCTATATATTATACATATATATATACATATAATTAGTTATCTATTTATTTATACACCGATACTTGGAGGATTCCTTGCATTGAGAACGAACTGGATGCCCGCTTCACTTGCATTGCCGTGCCTGTCCAACGATAAGGCTGTGCACGATGGCTCCAACCATCATGGTGAGAGTCACGTACATGATCTCACCAGTTGTAAAGGCTGAGATGTCACCTGGGTTAAAAAAAAACAGGGCACATCAGGGCACATAGGATCACATAGGGTCACATAGGACATCATCATATGAGATCGTATGAGTATGGGTCAAACCCAACACCGAAATAGCAGGTGCTTGCGGACATTTATCCCTCCGATGCACTATAGCCACTATAGATTTCGACTCCATCCCCATGATTCTCAAGGTTTTTTTTTTTCAGTGGGAAGCTCGACAGGCTGTGCAGCACCGCTCTCTATTCCTGTCTTGCCAAGTTTCCAAAACCAACTGTGGTGAAGACCTGGTCAGGAGGCAAGCCCTGGGGCTTGGATGGGCTTGGATCAAAGCCCCTGTCATGTAACAGTTTACTATGGACAATGGCCCAATGGCCATTTATAGATGATTTAATACGTGTTAGAATATTATGATTTTCCATGGCTATGTTAAATTACCAGGGGGTGTCAACTCCTGCCTACCCTATACATGTAAGAACTCCTTGCCAAGTCAGAAATAACGTGCTCACACCTGGGAGATAAAAAAAAAATGCTTAGAGGAATGTGATCATGGAGGCATGAAGTGAGTGGTACAGCACATCAAAATAGGCTGTCGATTTGTTTCAAGTGAAACTGAAAGCGAATTCACAGCATAATTGAAGAGGGTGCGCAAGCATCCCGCTTATCTACTGACATCAACAATTGATTTTGTTTGAATTCAGGACATCCCCCCATTTTTGCAAAGACTGCGAACACATCCTCTCGCCTTGAGTGCCAACATCCCCAAAACATCATCCTCCCAACTTCCGCACCGATCCCTTCCAACTTCACCGAGCTGCGGCAAAAACGAAGTACATGGAATGCGCCCATTGATCAAATGGGGAGCAGTTCAGCAACATCTCCTCCAATGGATATCTGGGTGTGTTTGGCCTTGGCCTTGGGGCCTTGGACCTTTGTCGGGCGAGAATTTTTGGGGTGTTGGACCTAATGTCAAATTAGCACGACCCATTTGGGGATCTGGGATGGTCCTCATTGACACCCACCAGGCGCCGGGCCAGCCAGGTCTCCAGGGGGTCGTTATGCAGGGCGGCACAGAGGTACCAGCCACAGGCCTGGAGCTCCAGAAGAGACCGAAAATAGGATTTTAGATGATTTTTGACTATTTGAGTCGTTTTCTTCACTTTGAAGTTAAGTCTCCTTCCGTTGGAAGAAACTTCGGAATATTGCCTTGGAAGTTGAATGGTACTCACTATAAGAAGCCATTGGCATAAAAGTTCTTTGTTGGAGATTTATATGACATGCAGTGATTGATAGCCTGGAATCAAATCATTAACTCCAATCAAAAACTACAAGTAACGTCATACGCGACTCACTATAGTTTATAGCATGTATGAATGTATGTAAACACGTTGTATATGTATATGTATATGTATATGTATATGTATATGCATATGCATATATAATAATAATAATGATGATGATGATGATAGTAAGAATAATATACAATAATGATGATGATAATAATAATAATAATAACAAATATAAATATAAATATAAATAAACAAAAATATAATTAATAAATAATTATAAATAAATAAACTAATTAATTAATTAATAACAATAATAAACAAATACCAATCAACAATGATGCTGTGATATAACCGGATAACCCTGTAGGCTACAGTATATGCAACTCCAGTTCATGTGGCAGACCCAATACCATAAACTTAACCCACCCGTTTCTGGCAAGTAGTTGGGGATGGCGTCTTGTGTTTACAACGTTTTGAGGGGACTAACCCTGCTGACCAAACATATCAAGACAATAATATGTTGGGTTGGTTATGGGCGGGGTGATTTAAGCCATCGCGGAGGAGGACAATTGGTCTTAGGCTCAAAGTAGCTCAGTCATTGCTGGATCTTATTGAATAATTGCTAAACCATCGGTCAACCATTGGCTTGCCAGGTCTTGGTTTTACAGTGCTGCCACAGCTGCCATCACATGAACAGCCCAAATAAGGCCGCAGAGGGTGTTCAACACCGCCACCACCTTCCGGCCCGCTGCTGGCACTTGGGCCGGATGGTCATTCTTTGGGCTGTACCTATGTAAAGCCATCCATTTTGGGAGGATCATTTTACCCATACCCACATAGTTGTGCAGACTTTTTGGACCTGAAATCTGCGCTGTGCAAATCTTCTGTGCCAAAGGGAGTTGCTCACGATTCTCAGTCGTGATTTGGATACGCTGCCCCAAAAAATAATCCTTTGGGACCCACTTTGTGGCATGCAGAGATCAAGACATGATGATTACTTATACCTAGAGGATCCTAGAGGTACACTGTAAGCTGGGACCCAGTGATCGTTCAGGCATCAGGCATCTAGATCCTCGGACTTTTGGGTCAGAAGATGTCACAAGTTTCGCTCCAGTCGCAGGGGCCTTGTATCTCTGGATGTACATGTCCAAATTGAGCCGCTCAGTCAGTTGGGTCAACTTCCTGAGCAACTCTGCAATCGCTAACACAAACGTCATCGCGTCATATCGCGTCCATCACAATCCAATCCCCTTAAGGCCTTAAGTTAAGAGTCAATATCAACACCACCTCGGAAACCCTGGTTGAGCATTGGATCTGTTCATTTTGGCTTCCATGAAGGGGAGTTATGGCTAGGGTTCTGGGCTGCAGCCAAGAAGCACCAGTCTCAACATTCGGACAATCTTCGTCATTCGCTGCATGCGAACCAGCCTCTGCCCAGAAAACAAGCAGAAACCCGGTTTGACACGACAAGCACGGACGGGGAAGTAACCTATTTTTAGTGGGCAACCCCATCTTCTAAAAGGACATGTTCTACCAAACCACAGTCATACCATGGTTGTGTCATGCTTGTGTCAAGCAATCCCGTCCCCCTATATAATTGATATTAAACACCCCCAAACCAAACCATACTGGATGTAGGGGATTTGCACACACTTGTGACTGGGGCCATTCACTATGGGAGTGAGACTAATAATATTGCTTCTATCCCACTATATCATACTATATCATCATTTTGATCCGTATACCGTATACATCCGTATACCGTATACCCACTATGGTTGGCATGCTCCCATTGTCTCCCTGATCAGCATCCAGCGAACTCCACCAACGGCTCCCGCCTCAAAGATCGATGTCCACCATTCGCAGTGGAACTTCCTGCGTCACTCATCATGTATCGATACACTGCGCTGGCGACCTGCCGAGCTGCGGGCCGAGGACTTTGCTGACACTGAAAGATGTTTGGCACACACATAAGATAGAAAAGAAGAAAGACGACACTTATCTTATCATATGTTACATTATATATCATCATATTATAGTATATTAGATTAGATTATATTAGATTAGATTAGATATTATATTATTTGTTATATTCTATTATTTTATATTATATTCTATTATATTGTATTATATTATGTTATATTATCTATTATCTTCTATATTATACTATCTATTATATGATATTATGAGTTATATTATGTTATGTAATGTTTTTTTTGGCAGCCTTATAGTGAAAGATGATAGCTATGTGATGTTGTACGAATGTCACTATCCATCAGATAATTGGTGAGTGATTCCGATCTATCATGCGGATATACTCAAACCTACATAGTGCTAAAACACGTTCTATCGGCTTGTGTTTTTGGGGGAGGGGGTTGCTACGTCCTCCTTAAAGGATCCAGAAAAGACTCTTGCGAAACCTAAAAATTGGACTTGGGAAATAAGTGTCCCTTTTTCAATTGCCAAAAGATGCCCTTGCAAGAGCCGGCAACTGGCCTCTTCCGGCACACAGGAAATCCTTGGTTCCAAGACTTTCTGCAAATGCACAAGCGGTGGATGTGCTTTTTGCCAAGGCACCCAAATCACAATATGAACAAAGTCGTGGGCAATGCGTTTGTCCGAAACTTTGGCGTGCCCTATGCCCCCCAGTTGTGGTTTGTGAACATGGTGATACATCGCTGGATTTTGGGATTTGCCCAACAGTTTCAGAGGAGCGCAAATTGAGCCCAAGCTTCGCATTGACCCAAAACCATCCGCTAAGATATCTGATGGCAATCTTCCGAGGCAGAGCGACCTGGCACCCAATGGAACCCGTGCTGCCTTGATGTGTGCTGACTTTTATGTACCCCTATCCGATAGCAGAGCCTGCACACATTTTATGCATCTACGGAGTGCATGTGCGTAGTTGCACTCTCTGTAGGGAAGACCTATCACCAGTGGACAGGTCCAGCATTGACCAACCCTGCGGACCGCCTCGTATCCTTTCCTTAGATGCCGACAGATGATCAGCTTTCGCCCAGCACACTGACTCCATCACCCCAAGCAGCCCTCACAATCCAAGCCGCTCGCTGGTGTAGGTGAAAAGAAACTGAATCAGCAAATCCATCAGAAACATGATGTCCACCATGCGATCAAAGTAGTTCCAAAATTTCGGGACCTGTCACAGTGGCTTTGCAAAATCATGGGGGGGAGTCTCCTCATCAAGCCCAGCCCAAGTATGGTTCCCAGCAACCCGAGCGCTGATTTGCATCGATGCCATCACATGGTCGGCCACGGCTGTACAGGTGCAATTGGTCAACCAGAAGCTGCTTGCCACAAAGTGGCTCTCTCATCCTAGCAACCATTTGGAAAAGAGAGTTGACACCTTCCTGAGAATCATTTTTGAAGAGAGGCCCGCCAGATCTGCACAATCTGTCCGTCTCTCTGCAAGTGCAAATGCGAAATCTGCGACTGTCTTTCACTTAAGGCATGTGGCTAACTCGGTGCAAAGAAACAACGTGTACGGGTTTGCCTAAAAATGGGGTACGCCCAGAAATAGGGTAAGTTTCTTGTTTGACACTCGCTAATCTCGCTATGCGCCCCCTCTCACATTCAGCTTTGAGTGAGTTCAGCTCTAGTCGAAACATCCTCAGTGTCTGCAGTGGAGACATCGTCTGCCAGGTCTTTCTCCATGGACTTTGGCATCTTCAGTCCCACTGTTGGCCTCGCTGGTGGCTGGGGCTTACTCTGGCTCTTCATGGCGCTTGCAAGCCAATCCAAACCTTCCCATAGACCACTGCCGGTTGTAGCCACGCTCTCCTGAAGGGAAAGGCACCAGTGACTCAGTTTCATGCTGGTTCCCTTAACGTTCTTCCAACATTTAAAGTGTCCTAAGTCCCAAGCAACAAACAACACTACTTTGATCCACTCCTGGATGAACCACATCCGATGTCGCAAGGAATGCAAGCCCAACTTCTCCACCAGCTCAGTGGTGCTGGCCGCGAAGGGCAGGTCCTGTTTGTTGGCCAAGACCAGCAACGGCTTTCCATGGAGCTCCTCCTCTGCCAGGACTCGATCAAGTTCATGCCGTGCATCCTGCAGCCTCTCCCGATCACACGAGTCCACCACGAAAACGATGCCATCGGTGGTGGCGAACCAATGTCTTAAGAGTGGGCGAATGAAGGTGCGACCACCCACATCCCAGGCCTTTAAGGTCATGAATTTGGCAGATCCTTCAAACTCCAAGGTCTCTAACAAAAAGCCAACCGTTGGGATGTGCGTCTGGATTTGTCCTCCTTGTCTACTCTTCATGCTCTGCAGCGTGGTAGTCTTGCCTGCAGCATCCAGGCCTATGACAATCACTTCGCGCTGCTGGCGGCCCCAGAGTGACGAGCCAAGGGCGTCCATGGCTCTGAAACCTGCAGCAACGACAAGGTTTCTAACTTGGAGCCAGCACCAGTCGGATTCCGAAGACAGGCCATACAGCAATCAAGCACAGAAGTCACAGAAGCATACCGTGGCAATGCTGGAGATGCTTAAGGTTTGATTCCTTCTAACCGTTCCTTCAACAAAGAAAAGCGGCAGGTGTTCCACCGCCCAGTCGCTTTGGGTGAATTCCATCAGTCACAGCGCTCAAAACCTGCCAAGAAAAAAACCACACCTCCAGTTCCCTTGGAACATAAAAGCGCACAAAAATCAAGCGATAGATGAAGATGGTGCCGGTGTAGACCAGCAAACCAACTACCTGGACGGCAGCGCATGGCGGTGAAGAAATGAGACGCTCATCTCTGGAATCTACGGCATTATGGGTAAGACCATTGAAGATCATATCGACACTATGGTGTCCCGGACGGCTCACAACAACAGTGACGTGCAGGACCACAAACCGACATCAGAATTCAGGACCTTGCTGCCCCTTAGCCTCTTGTAATCAAACATGGCCATGGGAATCCCTGAACTAAATGGGCATCTGAATGGAAAAATATGGAAAAATCATCTATGACATCTATGAATGGAAATGTATGGAAATGCATGGAAATGTATGGAAATGTATGGAAATGTATGGAAATGTATGGAAATGTGCATTGCCATGTTTGATTACCAGAGAATACCAGAGACATCCGAGATGCCAGGGCAGTCCAAAAGCGCCGAAAGTTGTTGTCCTGAAATGCATCTCTTGACTACATAGAGGGAAGGAAAGGCAACGCAAGGGAAAGAAAACATCAACAAACCTCTGCTACTGCTGCCATCCACACATCATCCCATATATTCCTGTATAGGCATATATGCGTAATTGATGTAATTGTATTTGCATCATATACATGGCATCCCCCCAGTTAAACCCAAAAAATAAACATTTAAAGCTATAATTATGAATCATATGAAGATGAATCCAATCACCAACCATTCGCTATTTTGCCAAATGCCAGCTCTATCCAGCTCTTCCATGATGGTACCGTGGCACTGGGCGCTTCCCACTTCTTTTGAGGACAAGGAGCTGGGTACATGATGAATTTCTGGATTACACAACGACCTGCTCCAGCTACAGATTTGCTCTTCTTCTCAGATTCGTAGCTTTCTTCGGAGATGAACTCCTGGCATGGTTTGGTGAGGTCATGGAATCCGGAAGTGGCTGTAGCTCACAAAGCCCCAGAGAGCTGACCCCTTGACACTTGCCTCTTAGGCATCAAGAGACTCAATGCCCTCAAGGGTCAAAACTTGCTGACCTTTACCCAGACAAAAATGCGCCCCGATCACTGGCCATCTCAGGAACCTAAATTGGAGGTACCTACCATACATAAGGCCTATATAAGGCCTATGTAAGGGAATATCCCCACAAAATATGGGCTTATGATCCTTATATGGTACAGTACCTCCATTTTAGGATCCTGAAATTCCCATTGGCCCGAGTTATGAGCAATGTTCAGAGTTGCAACCCTATCAACTCATATATCATCACGTCATGTCATAGAATATGTCCTTTTTCTAGTAGAATCACTTTTTGGCAGCCCCACCTTGCTGCCGGCCAGGGAGCGGCCACGCACCTGAAGCACCAAATCCTCCATGCCACGAGTGCCGACGCCATCGTCCGTGCGCTTCCGGTCGGTTTTAAGGCGATCCATGGCGACACATGGCCCCACGGCCCCAGGGGATGGGATTCACACCGCACAGCGAAGATATGTGAAGTAGTTGTGAAATCTCTGGCACTGACTTGGTTCAATTCGGACATTGGCCAGAATTCAACTCCTCTTTTATCATCTTCTACCTGACTTCGACTCGTAAGAGATGACGTTCTTGGAGATTGAATTTGACTGAATCCAAATGTATTATGTAGAGCACTTGTTCTTTGACAGTGCTATCGTTGAGTTCAAAATTGCCAGGCGTCACGACAGCACACTAGGATCAGCACATTCTCAACAAGTAGTAGTTTCCAAACTGCTGCATTCTACGGTCTTTCAGGAACTTGGGCACCACACCACACTGCACCAAATTCTCCATTTCCTTCATTGATCCATCCCCAAAATGTATCACTAAATATCAGTAATTTGGAATCAACATCCCCAGCTGAGATCGAAAATAAAACATCCCTGCACCCCCGAGCCCAACCAACTTCTGAATGCCACTTCATCAGCTTGGCCTCGCTCTGAGAAGGCGACCTCTCAGCTTTTAGTCATATGCGGCATCTGAGCATCTTTGACTTTGTAGAATATGAATAAGCTTGAGCAAACACCTCAAGCGTTCCTTGATCCACAAAAACTGCAACACTGGTGATTGCTGGTGACGGTGAGCATCCCCACGCGCAAACTGCGCGGTGAACTGCGAGCAAGGCAAACTGACTTGGTGTCAGAGGATAGCAAAAACAAATGGCTGGAGAAGCCCTGGCGGATGAAGTAACAAAATATAACCCCTCATGCGTCTGCCTTGGCATCGTTCAGCTGGATTCCCCGACTACTGATGGTGATCTTCCATTCCGATGGTGATGTGTTTGAAGAAGTGTTGAGAGGAACACCTGAAAAAGCGCACTTACATATCTTACACGGCTGGATGCTCAATTCTCTAGCCTTCCAAGCCAGGGACTGCAGTGAAAAAAGGCCTTGCTCGCCTTAGGAAGTCCTATGGTCTACTTGAGAGTGCTAGGCTCAGGACAGCGGAAATATTCCCAGTAGAAAGTCGGGCGTGGGATAGGCGTTCTAGACGCGTTGCTTTGCAACAGCTACAAGGTGCAAACATCTGATGTTTCAGCGCGCTGCCTTTGCCTTCAGAGCTGCTGCCAGAATCATTTCTGCATTCGCAGAAGACTGGCGCGGTCCACTACTGGGGGAGCGCGGGCCCCAAGTCTGAGCGCTGATGGGTGTAACCAACAGATTCAACGGACATATATCATGTACCTTGGCTTATGATTGTCAGAGTGTTGGCCAAAATGCAGCCTTCAACTCAGAGCTCTCAGGGCCCAGCAGGCTCAAGACCCCAGCAGCTGCCCTGTGTTCCAAGGTTCGGTGAAACCAACCGAAATTCGAAGCCACAGCCGCACTGCACAGCCGAATTTGCCAAGGCTGGGCTCTGTGTCCCCTTCCCCAGCATTCGTCTGTAGGTCCTGGAATGATGCAGGGGGATGAAGATGAGAAGTGCACAAGATCTCCTCCTTGCTCACCCCACCAAGAGTAGCCACACAGATTCGTACAAATAGATTTATATGTGTACATGTATATATACATGCGCGTATGCATATGTGTGTATATTATATTTTTTTCAAGAGCCATGTATCTATTTACATAATTACTTCCACAAATAATATATAATTATATATAGCACACAGAGTCACTTGGGACCATCATACCAGGTAGCTATTTTGTAAATAATTAATCATCACGCCGCGCCCTCAAGTTCAGCGACAGCACCATCTGCTAACCTCTTTGTACACAAAGGTCCCTAGCGACAAAAAAAATCAATGATTTTATAAATGGTATGGCTGCTTTTTGACCAAGTCAAGTTCCCGCATGGTCTTTCTGTTTTGACAACACCATTTTTCTAGACGATTTTCTGAAATCAAAAATAACTAAATATGGTGCCTTGCCCAGCCCAGCCAGATCAAGTCCTCGGTTCACCACATGCGGAATGAAGACACTGGCGCACTGCCGGTGCCTGGCTCACAGCTCGCCCACCAAATTTAGGATACTATGTTCGACCACGTTGGACCCATTGTCTTCCAACTTTTTGAAACCAATTAGCTAAGTTATAAGCACGCAGCTTGGCGGAGTCACCCAATGTTTTGAACTGGAGTGGTGGGCACACGTCAACGCACGTTGTAAGAAAGCACCAGGTCCTTTGGGAAAGACATACCATATATGGACCCATATGGGGTTTCCTAAAATGGTACAACCAAATCATCCAAGAATATCCAAGTCATTTGTCATTAGACCATGAATGAGTATTGAAACCAAATGAAACCTACGGTTTTGGGGCACCTCCATTTTCGGAAATCTCCATATGAACGGCGCGCTTCCAGCGCAGATCCGACCCTGGTGGGCCTAAGCCTTTGACGATTGCCTCTGGGCCGCCATTGGCATGGACACCGGTGTAAAGACTGATGTCCTGAGCATGGGAGATGGGCCATGATGGGCCGGCACCACTGACTGGAAGCGACTGGGTCCCGCGCGCTTCTCATCTACATACTTCATCATCCATGTAACTGTAAATATATGTAAACCTGAGAAGGGGGGAACGAAAGCCAGCATCCCATCTACCCCTATTTTCCACCAATGACTTTTCACCCAGAAACTCTTCTTGCACATACTTTTCACCCATATACTTTTCACCCAGAGACTCTTCACCCAGAAACTCTTCTTGCACATACTCTTCACCCATATACTTTTCACCTAGAGACTCTTCACCCAGAAACTCTTCTTGCACATACTTTTCACCCATATACTTTTCACCTAGAGACTCTTCACCCAGAAACTCTTCTTGCACATACTTTTCACCCATATACTTTTCATCCAGAGACTCTTCACCCAGAAACTCTTCTTGCACATACATTTCACCCATATACTCTTCACCCAGAAACTCTTCTTGCACATACTTTTCACCCATATACTTTTCACCCAGAGACTCTTCACCCAGAAACTCTTCTTGCACATACTTTTCACCCATATACTTTTCACCCAGAGACTCTTCACCCAGAAACTCTTCTTGCACATACTTTTCACCCACATACTTTTCACCCAGAGACTCTTCACCCAGAAACTCTTCTTGCACATACTTTTCACCCATATACTTTTCACCCAGAGACTCTTCACCCAGAAACTCTTCTTGCACATACTTTTCACCCATTTACTTTCACCCAGAACTCTTTGCACATACCACCCATATACTTTTCACCCAGAGACTCTTCACCCAGAAACTCTTCTTGCACATACTGTTCACCCAGGGACTCTTCACCCAGAAACTCTTCTGGCACATACTTTTCACCCAGAGACTCTTCACCCAGAAACTCTTCTTGCACATACTTTTCACCCATATACTTTTCACCCAGGGACTCTTCACCTAGAAACTTTCTTGCACATACTTTTCACCCAGAGACTCTTCACCCAGAAACTCTTCTTGCACATACTTTTCACCCATATACTTTTCACCCAGAGACTCTTCACCCAGAGACTCTTCCTTTCTTGCATAGATTTTCACCCAGAGACTTTCACCCAGAAAACATACTTTTCACCATATACTTTTCACCCAGAGACTCTTCACCTAGAAACTTTTCTTGCACATACTTTTCACCCATATACTTTTCACCCAGAGACTCTTCACTCTTCTTGCACATACTTTTCACCCAGAGACTCTTCACCCAGAAACTCTTCTTGCACATACTTTTCACCCAGAGACTCTTCACCCAGAAACTCTTCTTGCACATACTTTTCACCCATATACTTTTCACCCAGAGACTCTTCACCCAGAAACTCTTCTTGCACATAACCGTTTCACCCATATACTTTTCACCCAGAGACTCTTCACCCAGAAACTCTTCTTGCACATACTTTTCACCCATATACTTTTAACCCAGAGACTCTTCACCCAGAAACTCTTCTTGCACATACTTTTCACCCAGAGACTCTTCACCCAGAAACTCTTCTTGCACATACTTTTCACCCAGAGACTCTTCACCCAGAAACTCTTCTTGCACATACTTTTCACCCAGAGACTCTTCACCCAGAAACTCTTCTTGCACCCATATACTTTTCACCCAGAGACTCTTCACCCAGAAACTCTTCTTGCACATACTTTTCACCCATATACTTTTCACCCAGAGACTCTTCACCCAGAAACTCTTCTTGCACATACTTTTCACCCATAAACTTTTTACCCACAGACTCTTCACCCAGAAACTCTTTTTGCACATACTTTTCACCCATATACTTTTCACCCAGAGACTCTTCACCCAGAAACTCTTCTTGCACATACTTTTCACCCATATACTTTTCACCCAGAGACTCTTCACCCAGAAACTCTTCTTGCACATACTTTTCACCCAGAGACTCTTCACCCAGAAACTCTTCTTGCACATACTTTTCACCCATATACTTTTCACCCAGAGACCCTTCACCCAGAAACTCTTCCCTCATCCCCTCGCAAAACCGTCTTGCTCCGAACCCCAACGGACGCTGCTCTCCGTTGAGCTTTGGATCCTTAGTTTTTTCAAGATGCTTGCCTCTATGTTCCTAGTTTTTTCAAAGCTTTGCCTTTCCTCCATTTCATACCTTTTTTTCAAACCTTTTCCTGCGTTTTCCTACGGTTTTTCAAGAGTTTCCTTCCGGCGATTTCCTCATTTCCCAACGGTTTCCTCAATTTTCCTTGGTTTTTCCAAGCTTGCCATTCATTTTTTCCTCCATTTTAATTGTTTTTTTTTCAGAATTTTCCTCAATTTTACTCCATTTGCAACCCTTCGCCACTCCTTCCTCGGCATCACCCCTCATCCCCTTGCAAACCGTCTTGCTCCGAACGCCAACGGACGCTGCTCTCCGTTGAGCTTCGGATCCTTATTTTTTTCTATATGCTTGCCTCTATGTTCCTAGCTTTTTCAAAGCTTTGCCTTTCCTCCATTTCATGCCTTTTTTTCAAACCTTTTCCTGCGTTCCTGCGGTTTTTCCAGAATTTCCTTCCTGCAATTTCCTCATTTTCCTAACGGTTTCCTCGATTTCCTTGGTTTTTCCAAGCTTGCCATTCATGTTTTCCTCCAGTTTAATGGTTTTTTTTCACAATTTTCCTCCATTCGAACCCCACCGTCACCAAATTGCCTAGTGGTACATGCCCCCTAAAAAATTCCAATTGGCTACCCTAATCACCACTCAATATCGAGATTTTGGTCCACCTGGGCAACCTCCACCCCCCACACCCCCTATACTCACTTCGTTCGCGAAAACAACTTTGCCTAGCCTATCGGCTGGCTTTCGTAATATTGAATATTGATGTTGATGAAGACACCCATTCTCCAGGTGTGTCGAAGTGACGAAAGCCCCAGCACAAGTGCTCCACAGTACAAAGCATCAATTTTTGGAAGTGGTTTCCCCTCAGTTTCAATATGCCATCACAAACAAACTGCAGCTTGGTGTCATCATGAAATCGCACCGACTCTGTTCGCGTGCCACTAAGTTGTGGTCCAGCAAACTGCCTGCAGGTGAAGTGGTGAGTCAAATATCGTCAAGAGAATTTGAACATCCTGCTATACACATATCTATCCTATGCGCATGGTGTATGTATATCGATCTATCGATCGATCTCTCTCTCTCTCTCTCTGCGTATATCCATTAGCCACTGGATCCCAATCTACACATCTTCGTCTTCCACCCTCTACGATGAAACTGCTTCCTCACCTGGCCACAGCTTCAAAAACCTCCCCTGCTTCGATATTCTTCTTCTCCTGGGCTTGGTTGCTGGCAGCCTTTGGTAAACCCCAAATGGCTGGGAAATGTTCGCCTATTTTGAACCCAGATTGCAATCATCTGTCTCAGAATTACTTGGTGGAAAATTGTCCAGGAAGCCCGGATAAAGTATTCGATTTTTGGATCACCACAATTTCCTGCAGTTTTTCCCTCACATTGCGATGACTCGCTTGGGAGTTTAGCAGTTTAGCACCAAGCATCTGCCACTATCAGGAGAGCTGCTTTGAATTGCAAAAAGTCAATTCGCCGCACTCCTGAAACGCTCGTGAAACACGCTCGAAAAAACGCCATGAGCGAAACAGGGGTCATCATCGATGATCGCTGCACATGCGAGTGTAAATATGATATCCCTCATATTTCATAATACTACATTTCATATCATCAGTAATTACATGTATATATCGATTTCTATAATTATATATATGTGTGTGTGTGCGTTTTTGTGCATATATATATATATATATTATATATTTGTGTACATCCTCACGAACATGCGAGTATAGACATACTGTAATGTTAAAATAAATATGCATATGAATCATATTACAGTATGCTTTTTTCTGGTAATGTCTAGTAATCTATTAATCATAGTCAGCCGGCCTTTGGCCAACACTTTGGCGAAGGTCAGGTCGGCATCCTGCCGAGTCGCTAACTTTTCCAGCGGGGTTCATGGGACAAGTTGATGCGGGGGGTCCTGGTTACCACAGTCAGATCCACAAAAAATGGGATTTAGCATGATTTACCATCTGGTTATTTAACAGTTTGCCATGGAAAATCACCATTTTTAATAGGTAAACCTCTATAAATGGGCCATTTCCCATGGCTATGTTAAATAACCAGAGGGTAACCACTAAGAATGCGGATTGAATTGAATTTCACCAGCAGAAATGAGGCGGTGAATCAATGAAATGCGGGGGTTCTGAAACAAACATCTTACGTGGATACAATGGAATGTACATTATGATGTTAATTACTTCGCTAAACCTGATCATGATCCACCACCAATTTGCCCGAAATGAGTGAGATTCCAACCCTCAAAAGTTGGAGATGTATTTTGACCTTTCCAGACTCTATGCTTTTGATGTGGAGGTCACTTTGCTTCGTCTAAATGTAGTCAGCCAGAACGACCACCTCTAAACAAGGTCGTCCGACCACTGGGCCATCAAAAAGTCGCCATGTTTTTCTGTCCGTTGTGGTGAATCGCGAGCCAATCATCTTGCTATCTTTCATGAGCTTCACGAAGCATTTGCCATCCATCTCCTCAGCTGCAACGTCTTCTACCCTTCAGGAACATCCCAAGAAATAACAGAATTATGTTGGATATTCATCCAATTATAATTGGATATAATTGGGTATCATTAGATATAATTATTCTAGTACAAGTCTTGAATATACCTGGACTATCTTAGTCTAGTTCCTTCATCTATCCTATCAAGCGAGCTGTGCAGGCTCTGCTCAGTCGCACCAGCAATTTTATGGCCGGGCAACACTCTGCCCCGGCGTGCAATATGCGTCAAACACATTCTCCAGCAAACCGCAGCCCTGGAAGGGCATCAACAATCGACAAAACAAGCTGACCATAACAAAAAAACACCTTGAAAGTTGTGATCTTTGAAACTGAATTCAAACATGATTTTCCCTATAAATCACCAATCCAGTTTGAAAATGAAAGGAACCGCGCTCTCTCTCCACCGACATCTCCACAAGTTCAGTCAAAAATGAAGGATAGGAACAGTACTGTTCATATCATAGTACTGGCCTTGCAACCAACGCAAGTGACAAGGATCATACTAAACTACTGTTTGAAAACGTAATAATGGAAAATAGAACCGACAAGATAAAACATCATAAAACAGTAACAATAATAATAATGATTCTAATTGTTCTGATATTAGTGATAATAGTGACAGGAAAAACGGCAATAATATAACGAATATTGTTACTATTCGCACAGGCCGGTCGCTGTCGCAGTCAATTTCTCTCTCCATCTCCATCTGGTCAAGTTGTCCGCAAGGGATTGGATTCGTCCACTGATAGTAGTGAAGACGACAACGATAATACAAAGAAAAACAACAATAACAATAGCAACAAATGTGTATCTATATAGATATAGAGAGAGATAGATAGATAGATAGATAGGATAGGATAGGATAGGATAGGATAGGAGAGGAGAGGAGAGGAGAGGAGAGGAGAGGATAGGATAGGCTAGGATAAGATAAGATAAGATAGGATAGGATAAGATAAGATAAGATAAGATAGGATAGGATAGGATAAGATAAGATAAGATAGGATAAGATAAGATAAAGGTAAAGATAAAGATAAAGATAAAGATAAGATAAGATAAGGTAAGATAAGATCAGATCAGATCAGATTAGATTACAGTAGATTAGATTAGATAGATAGATAGATCGATAGATAGATAGATAGATCGATAGATAGATAGATAGGTAGATAGGCAGGTAGGTAGATAGGTAGATAGGTAGATAGGTAGATAGGTAGATAAGTAGATAGGTAGGTAGATAGATAGATAGAGAGGTTTTTGTTTATGCGATTATATGCGACTGAAAGGAATGGCAATATATATTGTAATGATAACAATAAAAGTAAGAATAATAAATCATAATACTACCATGGTGATAATGATGTGGCAAAGCCAATGCAACAGTTACTTTTGGTGATGTGTTTATGGCATTGAGCTTATCACATTAATGATGGGCTGATCACCCCGAGAAACCATGGTCCAGTCATGGTTTGCTCAAATTCCTGTACAAAAAAAAGGTGTGTGGTGTCATATCATGTCGTATTCCCATTATTGTTGGTGATCTTCCCATTATTCCAGTGAACTTAAAAAACATGTATAATCAAGCTAACTGTTAAACTACATGAATGTGAATATCACCAACTAAATATCACCAACTATCATGGGAATGAACTATATATATATATAATGGGAATATTATCCCTAACAATAATGAGTGTTAACTATAAGAATCTCATTATATATGTTTCATATCTGTTCATCTCTTCATAGTTTATCCTACTATAGTTAATAGTTAACTATCATATATAATCCCATCCTCATATCCCATTCGGATGGGACCGGTCCACGGGTCCACGCCGCCCACGCCTCCCGGCGGCTGATGGTGGCCGCCTTCTCCAGCGCTTGTGGCCGCAGGAAGCCCGTGGAGCTGGATCCTGGCCGCGCGCGCAAGCCGAACGGCAGGAAGAAAGGTGATGTTGGAAACTCAAAAATGGATGAAAATCGTCATTGATGGGATGAAATGGTCATATCAACTCATATAAATCCCAGTCATGAAAAATGGAAGCTCAACTTACTGGTGCTAAACGTAGGGAATGGATGGGTTGCTGGGGGGTGCTGGGATGATTATTGATAGTTTGCCAGTGGATCATTCCCGAAATTCCCTGCTAAGCACCAGTAAGAAAATGGATGAAAATGGTAGTTTAATCCCTGTGGGTTGCCAATTCTGATGTAATTTACTGGGATTTGACCAATAAATTTGTGAACCAATGAAAACCTGAAATTTAAGCCCAACAAAAAAGGGAAACCACATCACCACAAAAATGGTGGATGAATGGGATATGATGATGATATTGATGAGCAAAACCCAAGAATAAAACCATCCCCAAATGGTGGTTTCTGGTATACCCTGCCTGGGATGATGCAAAATGACCCCTAAATAGTTGGTTCCTGGGGATGGTTTGTGATTGGGCTTGCCACGTTACTACATATTCACATGGGTAAGACTACCTATATATATATATTATATGTATATATATATATATGTGGTGTATCTATATTGTGGTTGATATCTGTGTATGTGTCCATGTTTGCATCTATATCTACAGTCATATTTACATGTATCATCATTTATCTATGTATTGGGATGTCTTTATGCAAGAATAACTGGTTGGTGGTTGAGTCGTTGAGCCAGCCATTTGAAAAACAATCGGTTGGAGATCATGTTCCCATCTGTTGGGGTCGAAGAAATCGATAAAACCACAAACAGGGCAACGTGTAATACATATACTACTATTACCCACAGACGCCGTGTGTTGCCAGACATTAACATCGAGAATGCCGTGCTGTCGAATATATGATAGGAGAGATTGCAGAAAATACTGCGTATACGCAGTGTTTTCCAGTTTAGGATTCAAAGTTTTCAGAGCCTAGGTTTTAGGGTTTAGGGTTTTAGGGTTTGGGGTTTTAGGGTTTGGGGTTTTCGGGTTTAGGATGGTTTAGGGTTTTAGGGTTTAAGGTTTGTCGCCTGAAAACACTGGCCCTGCGCAGGTGTTTGAGCATGTTGAAGGATAATGTTTAAACATGTTTAAACGCCGTTTGAACCTTCCGGGCAACACACAGCGCCTGGCCGTACTATTACTATAAGACCCCAACAAACATCACCAGCCAATGTCTTAATCCCTGCGGCCAGGCACTGCTCAGCTTCCGTTCGACCGGCGCAGGCGAAGCCGCTGCTGCAAGAAGGTTTGGCAGAGGACACGCCTTAAGATTTGGGCACCGGGCACTAGAGAGGATGCAGTTTTGGGGGTGACTGATATGGGTACAATCATGGTAAAAACTAAGGTGTAACTATGTACAGTGATAACCAACAAATATGGGGACATAGTGGGGATACAATGGGGATATAGGTATAGATATGTATATATATATATATCACATATAAACACCAAAATGTCGGAAAGGAAACGATTTTCCATTGCCATGTTTGATTACCGGAATGTATATATTGACAACGGTTGAGATGTGGGGCCCCTGTGAGCTGGGATTAACTTAGGGTTGTTAACAGCGGTTTGGCATGGCTTAGGGTATCTCTCTCCCTCTCTCCAACGCCTTCTCGAAGAGTTCAGCTAAGCAGGGTATGACCAGGGGATTTTACCCTCATCAGTTGGGATATAAGCCGTACAATTTTTGTGGTATATCAATATCCACAAAAATTAGTGGAGCCGCACCCCGAAAGTATGGAAGGGGGATGTCACCATCCAATAATCCAATAAACATGGGATTGGTTTGAAGAGAAATGGGGAGTAAATCAAACCAATAAAAATGTCATGGAATTGGTGTGAAGGGACATTTCACACATGGTGTTTTCCGATTTATTATGGAGGGTTCCTGTAAAGTTGTCGGTTCATCCAAGGCTGCGAGTGAGACATTCCTCATGCGGATGGATACAATTCAAACATTCAGTCGCAAAAAAGTTGAACGGTGTGATAAAGCCATCCAAACGACAAAAACAAAGTCGAGGTATATGTCTGCAATCCATCTGGATACAGTACATGTAAACAGACCCTGAAAATGTATATCCCGAAAAAATAGCCTTAAAATAGAAACCACAAAATGTGTCAGTGTATATACATATACAAAAATATACAAAAACATGTATTGAACTCGTATATCTGATATATCTACTTTTCCTCCCTACAAAAATCATGTGTTTCTCAGGCCCCCGGCTGCACCACTGGAAGTCCGTGACAGCGAAGGCCGCCGCGAGGAATCCTTGCGGCCCAATGAGAGGCTGCCGGTGCCCGGCACATGGCCATAGCCCTGGCAGGGCATGGCATATGGACACCACACAGACATATATGATATGCATGTAAATTATAATATTTCACTAACCTGAAATAAGGTCATTTTGGGATGATTCCCCTTACTAACTATGATTTCTAGTGAGGTCGCAGTGAGGTCGTTATAATTTACCCGGATGATATGCATGTGCGTACATATGTGTGATACATGTATACCATATTAATCCATTTTTTTAATTTACATATGGGTAGGAAATTGTTTGTGGATTTGCGTCTACTAAATTGGGATTGTGTTGCTGTTGTTTTTGTTGTAGTTGCAGTTGGGTAGTTGTCGTTGGTGTCGTTGTTGTCGCTGTTATAGTTGTTGTCGTTTTCGTAGTTATTATATGTTATTATCGTTGTGGTTGTCGTATGTTGTCGTAGTTGTGGTAGTAGTGCTAGTTGTGGTGGTTGCAGCCGTAGCAGTAGCAGTAGCAGCAGCTGCTGCAGCAGTAGCAGCAGCAGCAGTAGTAGCAGCAGTTCTTGTTGTTGTAGTAGTTGTGGTAGCGTTCGTGCAGCTGGCAGCTGGAGGAGCGCACCGACAAGTGCTGATGTTGTGGTCTTTATGTTGTCTTTGTTCGAGTATATGTGGTGTTTGTATTTGCGCTGCGCTTGTGGCTGTGATGTGATTGTGGTCAACACCAACAAAGCCATGAAGTCAAGAAGCCACTAAATCCTTGTAAAGCCAAGAAGACAGAAAGCTGTCGAAAGCATCAAAGCCAAAAACACACAAAAGTAAACAAGCAGAGTTGGCATGGTGCTTGCCATATTTTCAGCACTGTGGAACGTCAACCTTCTTTGTGGAGATTGAATCTCTGATTCAGCATGGCATTTCTAGATTGAACCTTTCGTGTCGCATGGTATTCGCAACATATTGGACATCAATGATATTTGCTGCATTTTGGAACGTCAACCTTCCATTTTGCATGTATCACAGTATTGTGGAACTTCGATCTTCTCATCTTGCACGTGTATGCAGTATTGAGAGGCTTCAACTTGGCAATTTTAGATGAGATATTGTGGAGTTTGGACCTTCCTCTTTAGGAGATATTTAAAGCATTCATTGTGAAATGTTAATTTGTTAACTGATTCATTTACATCTCATCTAGCCTTTCTGGGCCTCGTGGCCTTTACACCAAAGAAAAGAAACCAAGATCAAAACGATAACATGAAGCAACAAAACTGAAATAGCTGGAAAGGGGCATGTGGGGGCCCCAAGGGATGCAGAAACAACGTCGTTCTAGTCTTGGTCCTTCTTTGCGGTTGTGATTGTTCGTGTTGCTCTTCTTACCTTTGTTCTTGTTATTCTTGTCGTCCTTGCTGTTCTTGTTGTTCTTGCTGTTCTTCTTGTTCTTGCTGCTAGTTCTTGCTGTTCTTGGCAAAACAGCAAAGAAGCAGAAAAGCAGTATGGCGGAGGAGATCTCAAAAAATCTCCTGGAACAAAAAAAGAATTAATTATTTATATAAATTGCTCCTCTCTACATATGTGCTATACACTAACCATGTCTCTGTGTCCTATGACTGTTAGTATACGGACCCACAAATGGTAAGCGTCATTTTGAGCCGTCAACGGTTCATCCTGATGATCCACCGGCCTTGGGGACTGAATCAGGCCCTCCACGCGCATGCACTCCTGTATAGGTGTGCTTGTCATCATGAAGGCGAACCTTGGTTCACTGGGTGGAGCTTCTGGAGCTTCAGTTTCCTTCAAAGCCAAGTTGGTGGGTCCAGAACTAACTGGTGATTTCAACCCAACTTCAAAATATGTTTATCACAGGCGGTCACCAAGGGTTTGAAACCACGAACCAATTGTGACACCACGTCAGTTAGTGATATCGCCCACGTTTTGCTTGTCACAAGCCGCAGGTTTTGTTCAAACCCCGCAATGGCATCCAATGGTCCCACATCGCCCAAGCAACTGCCTCTGCCTTAGTGCCCTCCAAGGACGGTCCGGCACCATCTGCGATTCGCTGCATCACTTCCTCCTGGCCGGGGCTGGGCAACTGGGGCATGGGATCACCAAGTTGGGTGAGAATGAGTGTTAAAAGCCACCAGAAATCATGGGATTCTTGAGAATGCTATGACTACGTCCCATACATCCCAACCTTCGTTCGTAAAGTCCACACTTGTGTTGGATAAATCATGATAAACCTTCCAAATCATCAACAGGTTGATGGATCTTGTGTGGGATTTTTCGATGAGGTTGGATTCTAAGTCTTGACCACAAAACTGGGATCAAACAACCTGTAAATATCCTGGTGGCCCGTTCACTTTAACAATATTTACCCGAGTTTTTCTGGGATAAAACTGGTCCAGGATCAGCTCCTGTGTGCAATTTCTCCGCTCAGCGATGAGACCCATCGCCTGCGTCAGCTGGGTTGGCACAGCCCAAATCTTCAGCAAATTAAGAAAAAATCCTATGTGTTTGTAAGGTATGTATGTGTCATTTGTTTGTATTATATGTGTGTGTGTGTGTAAAATATTGTTTGTTGAATAAAAATAAAAATGTTAAAACCCGTTTGAGATGATCCGACCAGTCCTATAACTCTTGGTGACGACCATTTAAAGATGTCCATATGCGTAGGTTCCACCTTGTCCAGCGTTTCCCAGGCCTTCTCAAATTCCATGATGGAAATTCTTCTCTGCCCCTGGCGAGCCAAGTCTAGAGCATAAAGATTAGGAGTTCAGGTCATTTCAGGTCTGTCTCTCGCTGGTATTGGGCATCCTGAAGCACACCTTGGGCACAACACGCGCAAAGATGAGATCGGCGTCGGTGGAACTAAAGTTCCGATCCTCGGAGCCAGATCTGAATGGGGCCATTTTGCTGGGCAAAAAATGGCTTTGCGATGAGACTTTACACCAAGAATGAGCTGACTTCCCACCCAAAGCAGCTTAAAGTATTTTGCACATCCTCCACTAGACAAACCTGCCAGTAGAATGTTCTTTATTCTCTGACTCATATCCATGTCTCAATGATTTTTCCGTTGAAAAGGGGGGGATTGCCCTTTGCCATGTCTGATTTGCCGAGGTTGTATGGCAGTGCCCAATCATCTGAGTATATCTGAGTCACATATAGGCCACAATCCCTGCATAGCTTCGTGAAGCTCCTTGCAAAGCCAGAGGGGATTTTTTTTTGTTGGCTTTTGTTCTCCAAACTGTTCGGAGTGAACGTCAATATGTGTTGTGTTGTTTGTTGTAGAGTTTACCGCAAATTTCACCTGGCTAAACTGATACAACTCCGTACCATGGATCTTTCATCCCATCCCATCTACCCCCTGGCCGTGAACCTTCCATCCACTTCGCTGGCACTGGAGGCATAGCTGGAAAAGACTGGCAGAATATCCCCAATCTCCGTCATTAGGACCTGATCTTGGAGGATTTCATGCGGCTTGTTGGTTGGTGTTGCCTGGGTTCATCCCCTCAAAATGTATGGGAAATCAGTAAATTCACCAAGGAAAACTGGAAATTGAGACAGAAGTCTTGTGCTGATTGTTCAACTTTCAGGACAGCCAAGGGTGAGCCAGCCAAATGATGACCTGTGAAACGTTCAAAACCTATGGAAACATCTGGCTTTGTCTGAAAATATGATCTCGCCCAAAATCCATTGCTGAAAAAAAAACAGCCATTTCGGGGGTTTCTTAAAATCCCCCGAATCATCAAATCATCCTAAATGAGACCATTTCAGTATTGAAACCCCTGGTCCCATGGTGTTTTGGGGATCCCCGATTTTCGGAAACCTCCATTGGGTCCATCATTTTCAGACCCATCTGCTAGCGAGCCACGCCAAAGCACGCGTCCCTTTGGAGGGGATCGGAACGGTGGGCCGAGAAAGCTGCAGTCCCCATGGCCACATGGAAGCTTAAGGGGTCCCTACCCACCAATGGCATAATGGTAACTAGGTACGGTACCCAACCCCCCAACAACAAAACTCTTCAGAATCTCTATATCTGGCTGAGACTTAGCACAACGGTTGGCTGTGGCTCAAACACGTGAGCACCACAAACTGCATAAGAATCTCCATCTGTTCGGGTTGATGGAGTCAATAAACCCTTTAATTAAGCCCTCAACTCATGTTTTTGCAAACATTTTGGCCATGGTTTTTTCGATTCGAACTGACGTTTTTAAGGAATTGATTTCCACAGACTTTGGCGGTATCTGCGGAAACCTCAATCACCCATTTTCTGACAGGGTTTATCAGCTTGCTGCTCACATATTCACTTTAGTAACATTATCCAGGATTAGCCTACCGTTTGCTCCAAATCTGGTTCTTGAACGCTGCTCAAGTGCACATAGATACAGATGTGCGTTCAAGTACGCAGATAGATGATGATAGATGTATGCCTCAAGATTATATATCTGCCGCCAGGCACACTTTTTTCACAGCTATCTGACAATCGATCTCAACTGGTGACTGGTCAGATCTGGTCAGATCGTCGCCAGCTCACATGTGTGGACACGCATGTCCAAGCGCCGAAGCAAAAATCAAAACAAGCATCGAAGTTCAGATTGTTCTGGAAGACCACCTATGAAGCATAATACACACATCAACCACCAAATCCATAACAAACGCGCCCACTAAAATGCTAGCTACAAGAAGGTGCGGTGTCAATTCTCCTGATCTTTTCGGGCAGCAAGAGCTTCATAATGCATTTCAAGATATTTCGAGACGACTTCTGCTGATTCAGGCGAATCAAAGTTTCACAGCCATGACACCAGCAGCTCAACCTCTACAAAGCGCCCAGCACCTCGCTTTCTGAGGCAGCAACTGGGGCCCTTGTGTCATCGGGATTCTCGTTGTGGAATTGGGTTTCTAATAAGAACTGGGTTCACCCTTCCACTGGTGAATCATGTTCCACATTGATGCCACAACTTGCAAGTGATTATCCCCCCCCTTTTTTCAGCGACGCCCCAAATCATCATATCCTCATGATATTCCTATGATACCCCCATCAAATTATATCCCCGTGTTTATTGGTTAGTTAAACCATGTCATGTTAAACCCTGGTGAATCCCAACTGTGGGGCCGCGCGCATCGAAGCAGTCGATTTTCACCAGCTGATCTGTCGAGATGTCGATGGGGGACACTCCACAACACTCCGGGTACAGATCAAATCGGGATTTTATCATCCAACAAAGATCACATGTGGTGGTGATTATACTAAATCCGCCCACACCGCTTTGGCGGTGAAGGCGTGCTTATTGGGGGGCAACAGCAACACTAAATGCTCAATGACATTTGTTAATATAGCAGTCGCTATATCAGCTTTAGCTGGGGGGGGGGCCAAAAACGGTTTCGCACCGAGACCAGAATACGGTGGTGTTTTCGACATTTTTCGAGGATTTTTGGGTGTCTGAGCGCAAGAGGGTATTGAAATGGAATTTTGGGTCATTTTGGTAGCTTTCCGGCAATGGAAAAACGGCCAAAAATGAAAAAAACATTGTACATAGCAAGATTTTGCAGGGTTTTTGGATGCCAGAGCATTGAAAACACTGCAAAAACAAGTGTTTTGGACTGACGTTATAGCAAAAAACGTGTAAATTACCGTATGCTTGACTGGAAACATTACAAAAACACTGTCAAAAGCAATGTTTTGGAAGGATTTACTGCCTTTATGGCAAAAAACGTGTAAATTACCGTCTGTTTGACTGGAAACATTGGAAAAACACTGTCAAAAACAATGTTTTGGAAGGATTTCTTATTGAAACTTCTTAGCTTGAAGAGCCCCCACGGGGGAAAACCACCCTTAGCCCCTCTCACGGACCGAAATAAACCTGCGGTGTGGGCGGCCACCCCACGCGAAGCGGGGTGAATACATCTAAATACAATCAATGAAAGTCCATGAAATTGGGTGATTCCAAGATCAAGACTGAAAATGTCGAGGACACCCGCAAAAAATTGAACGCTCAGCACTAAGAAGGACCAAAACCTGGGTCCCAGCACCGTTTGGATAGAATGGTAGCGGCTCGGCAGGGGATGGATGATTGATCCAGCCAGCGTTCTTTATTCACAGGGTAAACGGCCAATAAAATGCAAATTCACTAGGGAAATATATGAAATACTGTGATACCCACTTGCATCCCAATCAGACTGCGAAACATCCCCATTCATATCTGTAGTGTAGATCCATGTGACAGCCACCCGGAATACATGAATCCGAACCCATTGTGAGGCTGTTTATTCTACGTCGCAATATGGTACTAGAGATTTGGACCCTTGGATGTCATGGACCATGACCATCCCATCTCCATCCACCTGGATTTCCAAAAGGCCCTCGACGAAGCTCAGGGGCCACAAGAGCCAATCCAATGGGAAGGGCAACACGCCGAAGTAGTGCGTCATCTGCACAGGACCCGTGGCGGGAAATGGATGGATCGATGAGTCATGGTTGTACTAGGTCCATGGGTTGGTGGGCCACTTTTTTTAAAAGTTGAAGTACGAACACATGGATCAAATGGGCGTGCAACACCCACGCATTGAGGAATTGAGGATCAAACCAACAAGAAAGCAAGGAATGCAAGCAGCTAACTACTACAGGTTTCAACCCAAGAATGGGATGATATACTGGCAGGGGGAGACAAGGTCCATCCGTGGTTCCCCCCTTAGATTTTGAGGTATATCTTTACGCACCTTCATTGAAGGAAGAGGCCTTCCACCATACCTCGATGTACGCCTCAACCAGGCCTGGAAATAGAAACCAAGGATGGCCAATGGATAGCCGATAACCTCGTCCAAGTAGGACTCGTCAGGATTGAAAGGCCTAAGGCCACGGCCAAACACATCAAAATGCATTCAAATGCTGTGGATTGCTTCGACTGGTTGGTCAGTATAACTCTAAATACGGGGTTACATATATATATATATAGTTATGCCATGATCGTATCGAGCTATGATACTCCACACATCTTTCTACCATCCATTCAAGTCAAGATGCTAGAGGGATTCCCAATCATGGATTCCAAATATCTGACATAAAACAACCATCAAACAACCCTGTCAATCGGGCAACCACCTCAAAACACCCCTTGAGATCCAGACTTCTTCACCTGAGCCCCGGCCGGGCCGGCCGGGTGCCACCAAAATTCTGCCCAGGCAATGCCCAACGCTCGGCTCAGGTTCGGACGAATGGCAGGGAGTCTGTCCAGCCCCACTTCTGGCAGATCTGAACGGTGGCCTCGCTTCGCGAAAGCATGAAAATCTCACCATTGTGGATGATTTGTCGGGTGAAAAATGGGCGGTTTGGCAAGTTGTGGATGGTTTATCCATTCAAAAATGGAAGATTTCTCATGGCTATGTTAAACTTACAGCTTACAGGGGACAGTCCTCCCATCATTGTCTTCCTGTGGAAACTGCTAAGTCTTCAGCACAAGAAGCTACCTGCAGGACCTGTTGCTGTTCAAATCCTGGGCTCCAGACAGCGCCTAACATTTGTCCACCACGCAGTCCAGAATAGAAAGCTGCCCTGGGGTCGCCACTCCAGGCTTGCTGAGAAAGGGTTGAAGACGGTTAAAGCTTTGGGGATCCAAACCATTGAAAAGGCCGTGGCCAGCCATATTTCATGGGCATCCACAGCTATTTTGGCCTTCATGGTGCCAAGACTTTGACGTGCCCAGTTCAGGAGAAACACACCATGCCCTGCCATGACTGCCATGGCCTGCCCAACACTGGACACATGCATGTTTTAAACCCCCCCAAAAAAAAAGTACCAAAAAGCAACCTTTGGCTCTTTGGCAGGTCAAACTGCCAACGGCAACAATGCAGCGAATTGCTTGGGATGATCCTGCTGGATCCACGGGCACGTCACGCTGAATCAAGCGTCAAGCCCAAGAGCAACAGCATCTCACGTTGCCGCTCCAAGATCGATTGCTCCCTTTCCAAACGTTCCCTTTCCAAGATCTCGGTCTCCTGCGGAAAATGAGGGAAAATGGGAATGGGCTTGTGCAGATTGCCATGGTTGGGACGTAGAAGCATAGGAATTAGCTGATATCGTGGGAGTGAAATAGTCTGGCGATAAAGGAATTTATTGGGATACATGATACGAGTAGGATATGATATGATGTGATTTTATGTGGCTCAAATCATTCACGTAAATGTATGTGTATGTCTCTGTGTTTGTGTCATCGATGGCAGGCATTTCAAGCATACATGCATGCATATACTCTATGTGTTCCAGTCCAGACCACCCCCACCCACCCCAAAAAAAAACACAAACAAATATATAAATATCAACAGAAATTGAAGAATATTGGCAGCTAGAGATTGAAGAATAGCATATTATCCAGAATGTGTTTATGTTTTTTCTGGGTTGTGACAATTCCACTGGTTGATCGTCATAATCCTCATTCCATTGCCATTTTGCGGGGAATTTTTAGCCAATGTTCATCGATATCTCCATCAAGTCGCTGTAAATTTCCTATGATATCCCGGTGTTTATGAGTTAAATAGAGGCTTCCCAAAATGGTGGGATTTCCAAAACCAGAGGTTTCAAGACGAAAATGATCTCATTTGACTTGGATGATTTGGGGGCACCTCCATTTTAGGAAACCACCCAAATACTGTGTAAAACCTCAGGAGGAGGGGAAAAAAAAGTCCGCCAGATCCAACTGCTTGGGACCCAAAGACCTCCTGGCGCTGCAGCTCCCTTGCTTGGTAGTCTGCTACGAAGGCTTGGCGGCTTCGCTGCGCATCCTCCTCCACGCACCTCGGGTGACCAGCAATCCTTGTTGCTTGCCATCATGAATGATGACAATCTCTTATAGTCTCATATGATATATATATATATATTATATATTATATCATATCTCTCTCTCTCTCTTATATGTATGTACATATTATTGGACAGATTTGGAAAGTATAACCCAATATAATCATCGATCAGAAGTTGGGAACACTGCTCAAATGGAAGTTGTGCAAGTTTTGAACAGTGGGAATAGAATAGATGATATTTTTTGGATTTGTTGAGGGGGTAGGGTAGAAGCTGTGTTCTGTGGAATTTTCATTTTTTTTGGTGGGCATGCGGACCAAACGAAATCAGAAAATCAGAACCATCCCCGGAAATTCGTGGAACAACTTGTGGATATTTCATGGATGAAGGGTGATAAAATCACACATACAAATCTGTGCGGGCATATGCAGTGTGTACATATGTCTTAACTTTAAATTTCCAAACCTTCCAATTCCTACTTGGTGGTCCGTCCCACTTAGTAAATGGGTTCAAAACCCTGGTTATAAATGGGCTAAGCGGCTAAGGATTGGCATATCCGCATGACCACTTAGAACTGGCGTGAACCAACCGATTTGCATCAATTGACATCAACTTTCATCAACTGATTCCATCCAATTCCATCCAATTCCATCCAATTCCATCCAATTTACAAACCACTTGAACTTAGTACAGTAACAAGGGTGAACCACCCCATGTCATCCAATTCCCATCAGACTCGTGAACGACTCACTGCCATGGCACTGCAACTGCTGGATGAGTTGCTGCTGCGCCTGACGGGTCGTTTCCAACCAGGCAATGGTCGAGTCCAGTTGGGCCTCGCAGCGCCATTGGTTGATGCTTGGGGATTTCAACCACCTACAGCTGAGGAATTTATCCAAAAAAAATGGAATAATAAATGCTAAATGTGCCGCAAAACCATCATCTGGAATTCCTTGAAATTTAGGGGTATCCCGTCCCGCTTGGCGTGGGACCCCTGCTGTAACATTCGTGCTATTACATTCTCACTGGTTTAAACATGGAATGAAAAGAGTAAGAATGGAAGAGGTACAAATGACTGTAAACACGATCAAAGTGAACATCCATCATATCAATGGTCATTTTGGCCTTATAAACATCCCAAAAATGGAATGTAGTAAAGAGGATGTACTGCAATGCTGACCTGTACTATAGTATTTGGGGCTTTTGGGTGCTTTGGAGCATGCAAGTGGTGGCTGTGTAATTTGGACCGTTTCCAGCATCCACACGTTGTGTTCTCCATGAAATGCTACAGGAGGCGTTGGCGGCAATTGCTGGTCCAAATCCTGCACCTTTTAAAATTCGAGTTCTTCTGGATGCTGATGTGTACAAGCTCCACTTGGATGTGCACCCCAGTAAGTAACTTGGGACTTGGGATGTTCCATATGTGCATTGTACATTTATATATGCATATATTATGAACATACAGAGAGAGAGAGAGAGATTGGATGTGTGTGTGTGCCACAAATATATTTATAATACATATATATATATACATATGCGTATACATGCGTATACAATATATATATATGTGTGTGTGTGTATAGCTCCCGTTAAAATCCTTTATGTGAGTAGTTGCTATTGTTATGGTTATCGCTTTTGGGGGGGCCTATCGCTTTCCAGGGTTTTGTGGAAATCAGCATGTTCGAGATCCAACATGAAGCCCAAATCCATTCCTAAGCAGGCTCGGAAATGGATCGAGGAGTTGTTCTGTTGGTTTCAGGTGCTTCGGCAACACTTCATGTTCCTTTCATTTTGCATTCATTCACATCCATTTTCCTTCATGTTCCTTTCATTTGCATGCATATTCCTTTCTTTTTGCATTCATTTCCTGTCATTTTCCTTTCATTGTCCTTTCTATTCCTTTCATTTGCATTGTATTGTATTCATGTCCCTTCATTTTCCGTTCATATTCCTTTCATTTTTCTTTCCAATGTGCATTCATGTCCTTTCATCTTCCTTTCATTTGCATGCAGGTTCCTTTCATTTTGCATTCATGTCCTTTCAACAAATGGTTATCACTAAGGTTATTGCTAAATAATCCCTCGAACATATGACATTGTTCGAGGGAAATGTGCCACAAAAACGACAAAGTGAGAGAGAGAGAGAGAGAAAAAAAAAAGAGAGAGAGAGAGGAAAAAAAAGAAAGAAAGAAAGAACGAAAGAAAGAAAGAAAGAAAGAGAGCGAGCGAGCTCCATGCCAAATAATATGGTAACTGCAGGAAACAGGGCACCACAGGTTGAATTTCTACTCTCATCGGTGTTGCCCGTTCTGTGAATGTGCATAAATGTGCATAACAGTATTTGTTTGGTTTACGCCAAGTTTAATGGACTGTCGTGTATGGTCCCAGGTTATCGCTTTTGGGGGGGGGCCTATCCCTTTACAGTGTTTCGTGCCCATCTCTGACAAAAAAAAGCTCCTGCAATACTAAAGTGGTCTTCAACCATTTTGACCGTGACTCATTCATATATATATATATATGATATGTGTGTGTGTGTTATACTTTGGTTGTTGGTAACTAACCTGATCTCCCGGCCTGTTGCGCCATTTGCGCTTCTAGCCCCGCTTCTCTTTCCTGCTGGCTTAGCTTTTCCTGGGTTTCCAAAGCACGAAACGGCGGACCACTGTCATTGGGGCGTCATGTCCTGACAAGCTACTTGCCCCATACATGCGCTCCTGTTCTGCTCATGTTTTGATAAAGTGCTGTGTTTCAGTCAATTCTCTTCGTTCTGAATGGACGCCAAAGCAGGAATGGACGCCAAAGCAGGATCATCCAAAATATGCATCGAAAGGAATAACATGTAAAATAAGAATAAAAGATGCCGTGTAAAGCCACAAAGAGGACTTTGGACTTTTTAAAAGCCTTTACCATTGAGTCAGGCCTCATACTGAGCAGTGTATTGCCTGTGCAGCACCCGCTGCTGAGAAAGCAGGTCCACCTGAGCCAAATGTTCATGAACACTGTCCAGGATCTGCAAGCTGGTATAGAATTGCTCCTCCAGCTGCTTGGGAGCCAATCTTGGGTGGGCAGCACCATCACCTGACCTATCAGGTAGATCCCCTTGCAGCGAAGGGAGAGGGCGGTATGGAGGCAAGTCAGGTAATTCTTGAGATCTCCCATCATCACTATCTGAAATGTCGCCATTCGGCTCCACTGGCGTGGCAGCACGAAGAAGATCCTCCTCATCAGAGTCCTGAATTGGAGATCGAATGGAACTGGGAGCCTCTGAAGGTTCGAAAGCTGCTGGTTCCAATGGGCCAATTTCTGGTGCGACTTCCAGGTGATCCAATGGGTTTTCTTGAGGCCATAGATCCAGGTGTGGCTCATCAGGGCCATCTTCCATGGCTTCCGGTGTCTCTGAGACCATCAAATCAGAGATAGGACGACTTGGTGTGTCCTGCTCGCCTGCTTCCTCAGGCTGGTCCTGCTCTTTTGCATTGAAGGGTTCTGGTCCAAAGGCCTTCCGGCTGAGTGCTTGGAAAACAGTGAGGTCATAGGACTCACCGCCCCTGGCTCCTGGAGCGGCCCTGGTGGTGGGCTGGACTGATCTTGATTGCAGCGGCACCTCGCAGGGTCTGGCCCTCTCTCGTCCAGACCAAGCTTCCTGCAACCTGCTGTGGATACCCGAGTTGCCAAAATGGAAGAATGGCTGCTGACTGTCAAAGCCGAGTTCCTTCCCCAACATCTCTGCACTTTTCTCTCTCAACCGCTCCTCGCCCTGGTCCTTGATTCGGGAGGTCTTGTGGGTCTGGTGTGGGGGAGGTCCATCAAACTGTCTTACAGAAGCTGCAGGTTCTTCACGGCTCCTCCATCTGCTATCCTGGGAGGGACTGCCTGCTTGCTGCTCCAAGTGATCACTAAAGATCTCCCCTGTCTCAGAATGATGTCCACCAATGACAATCTCATCCTCAGCATTCGAAGTCAGGCCACCCTGCTGGAACAGGCCATTATCTGGGCAAGTTGGCTGTCCTTTTGGCACGTCTTGAGTCTTGACTTTTGCAGCTGCCTGCCAGTGATACCCCTCAAGTTGGACACTCTTTGGTACCAACGTAGGTTCCGGATTCATCTTGATACAGATTTCCGGCACCGTTCTTGTCTGCCTGGTTTGCACAGCTCTGGATCTTCTTTGAATTTCCCTCTCCCGCTGTGCGCATTCCATGGTGGCGCGCCGCAGCTGCGTGGCCAAGTCCGGGCGCCATCCCTTCTCCAGAAATTCCACTGGCACCTTGGGATCCTGCGGGGTCTCCAATGGCTGCTGATCTTCCTGCAGGTCATCCTGTGGGTCCTCTTCCACCTGCAGCCGGCCCGGGGAGATACCTGCCTGCCGGCACATCTGTAGCAGTTGCCGTCGGATTTTCGAGGCCATCTGCGCCGCACTAGCCGAGGCCACAGGAAGGGGCTCTTGCTTCGGCTGCTTGCGGCGGGCTGCAGCTTCAGGGCGCAGCGGTTTCACTTGGCTCAACAGTTGGGCTGTGCCAACATGATCTGCCTTGAGGCCTGGTCGGCTTGGTTTCGGATTATCATTTTCACTGCTGGGCTCACTTTGCACAAAGATTTCGCCCTTGCCATCAGAGATCAAAGCCAGCTTTTGGGCAAGGGGAAGACTGGATGCACTGACTTCACTGGCCACCGGAGTCGGCCACCCAGTTGAAGCGAAAATTCCTTCAGAGGTCAAGGTGACGCGTTCCCGGTAGCCCCATTTAGCAGACATTGGATGTGTACAAATCCGGATCCATAAGTATCAAGGGTAAAAACTCATACCAACATATATGCTAACTTTCGAAGTTCACCCCTCGGTCTTTAAAAGACTTGGCTTCTGCAATAGCACCCTCTTCCAACGGTTTATACTCCATAGTTTGGTGTGGCATCAGGAACGCTGGCCTTCAGCATTCCAATAGGGCAAGGAGGAAGATGCCACCGCTACTCGTTCACGGACACGCCGCGTTTCTCGCATATCCAGCCAGCCCGGCATTGCTCGAGGTAGGTGATCAAACAGGAGGCTAATTATTGCATCAAATAGTGGGCTAAGATGGGTTAGAGGCTAGAGGGCTCAAGGTTGGCTCGGGCTTATAATTGTAAGATTTGTAAGGTGTGTATATATATATATGTGTTATATCCCTGTGTGTGTGTGTATGTGTAAAAAAAAAATATATATATATATAGCATACTAATATATTTTTGTCTGTGTTGTTTATACAATAGAAGACGCCCATTGCAGGTCCCCCATTTGGGATGCCGGTGGCTTCGAATTCCAGCCTACAGCAACACTGGCCATCTCCATGGTAGCTGGAGCAAAGGGAAGCAACGGTTTGTGGCAGGTCAGGCATCACACTTCAGCCAGTTTCAGGTCAGACCCGGCCTGATCCTTGCGAAGAACCACACCAGCAGAATCACAAAAGCCTGACACACCAATTCTTGCGGCAGGTGATGGTGCCGAGGATATTCCCAGCCATTCCTAGCCAGTCCGGCATCCAAAAAATGAGGGGTCCTTCAGTGTGCTGTCAATGATCACATCGACCCAATTGACCAAGCTTGGTCCCAAAGCGTACCTCGAGGCCAGGCCAAGCATGTTGTTGAATCGATACTACCAGAAGAAAAACGGTCCGAAAGTTCGAACTCATTTTTTTTGCATACGAGGTGGTTGCGTCTTTGTGTCCAATATGTTTGCTTTGCCTGGCGTTTCCAAAAGCTGGCTGGTTTACATCCATTGATTCCTTTCAAGGTACGCCAAGGGAGGTGCAACAACACGAGTGACCTTGGTCAATGAACCACACCCTCGTTCGAGAAGACTCTGCAACATCTGCGACTTCACCAATCTGCCCGGTCATGGTAGTGTAGAACTGAGGTGTCTGCCGGAAATTTCACCATTTCTGAAATGGCCAGCGCATACGCTGTCGTTTGCGCAAACTTAAGACTCAACCTTCAAAGTAGCAGCCAACTAGAGCGACACAAATGAAGAAAGTTTGATTTTTTTCTGCAAATGATGAGATTGAGATCCAGATCGGTGTCAGCGTGTACCAGGCAATACCACCTCAGACTCGTCTGGGCGCCACACGTTGCAACCACGGCCAGGTATGCAGACCACAAATTGCCCACAGCTCCTTGCAGTCGCTTCGGGTCATTGATGCCTCAACGAGTCCATTGGACCATTCGCCGATGAAACGGTGGCATCCATTCCAGCTTTCGACTTGCAAAACTGATCGTCGGAAGTCTCCATAGATGGCCAGATCACCTTCCCAAAGTTGAGATTTCTCTGCCATTATTGTTTCAGAAGAAACTTCCCAGGGATTTCTGTTTAACCAAAACCGGATTGGCTGGGGAATGTCCACCGGGCACTGCTGGCGAGCAGCTTTGCATCACCACCATAGCCTTGTGCTGAACAAGCTCCTGGCTTCCCATGGCTTCCACATCTCTGATGCCATCCTTGGAGCACACACGGTAAGTGCTAGGGTGAACAATGGCTGGTTTCTAGAATGGGCGGTCAACATAGAATGATATTGTCCAACCATGTCAGGATTTGAATCAACAACCGGGAATCGCAGGAGTTTGTGACAGTTTATGTCTGACATTTATCCGGATACGAGCAGATTATCAATGAGAGGATCCTCACCACAAAGAGAGTGCCAGGGTCTTGAGCCATGGCTACCCATGGGATCTCATCGGACATGGCATCCCATAAGATCCCCATAAAATCCATCAACAAACAACGTTTGTCTGAAGATTGGGCATCCCATGATCCCATGGTTCATAATCATCATCATTTTCCTCATTGCTAAATTGCAATTTTATGGTAAAATTACACCCAAAGATGGAGTGTCATACAGCACGTGCTGGATGAAGCTGTCCCGTGCCTTCAGCATGAAACCCTTCATTTCTCTTCAAACGCATCTTGTAACCCCCCCATTTTGGGACAAACTCAACCAAATGCAGCTGCTTGTTTTGCGGTCGAGGGTGCTCGATTTGCATCGACTTGTTCATCGGCGTCGTGGGCCTTTACAACCTTCCACGATGCAAACGGTCAGTAAGGTGAGGCCTCCATCTATGGGCATGAGTCAAAACCTTTGATCCATACCCATTTTCTATGCGCACATAGCTGCTGATGGACTTGCTGTCTGGTTCACTAATTGCCAATCAAGCGGCGTTATCCAATTCGATTTTGATGTACGCGAGGTCATCGTACAAGCTTTGGCCACCCATTGTGCGGAAAGCTTCCACCGCAGCAATGAGGGCAACAAACCTTGCAGCGAAGGATCGTGCAGTATTATCTTGTGAGGCCCAAGCCCATCAAAAGCGGTCTATCAAGAACGATGACATGATTGTGCGACCTAGGGGATGGACGGAAACATTTTTTCTCAGACGTCATACATGAAATTATTCGAAAATGTTGAAAATTGAAAAACAATGCCTTCTTGGCCTTGCTGTATTTTGGGGGGATCACGTTCAGATTGGTGTCCTAGCCACGTTTCTCATTCAAAAATACCCATCCCAACTCTATGAAAAAAGTTTTTCATGCTCGCTTCATGAGCAACATCTGCCTATCGACATCATGCAGCCGGGCAGCACTCCACCAAAGAAACATAAAATGAATCCAATCAAAAATTTCAACTCGTCCGCGGGGAGCTTTTCAACCACAGCGTAGGCTGCAGAATAAATTCCTTCGGTGCGCAGTGCGGCGGATTTCCGGCAGTTTGACCGTCATGTTAATGTTCCCACTCCAATAGCCAAGTGGCGAAAATACACCTCAATGACATAGCGCAAAATACTCAGAGCACCGATCCTCAATGCGAAACAAGTGGTGAAACCGTTGGTTGCATATCATCTTTGCGCAACGACAAACACACGCGATAGACTGCCCGTACATTGCCTCGTGAAAACCACTGACGCATGATCCGATGTGTAGCACAAACGTTTTTTTTTCATGCGACGCACTTCACCACAACATCCTACCATCATTTCCGCCACCTGTTTCGTGGCCTGCAGTTGGTTGCCTACCTTGTTTCACGGTTTCGCCATCCCACGAACACATAAAGGGTGTAGAATAGTTTTTGGATTTTTTTTGCCTCAGGTTTTGGAATTTTTGTTTGGTTTTCTTTCCCAGTGCCATTTGCCTTGTGTTTGCAACAGTTTTGAACTAGAACCTGTCATTTTGCATGGTATTTGCTACGTTTTGGCATGGTCACTTTGCATTTTGCATGGTGTTTGCTACATTTGGCCATGTTCGCCTTCCATTTTGCATGGTATTTGTCACATTTTGGCATTTCAACCTCTCATTTGCATGGTATTTGCTACATTTTGGTGCTTCAAACGTTCATGTGGGTCTCTTGAGGGTTCTTTAGGCTTTCATTTAGGGTTTCATTTAAGGTTTCATTTAGGGTTTCATTTAGGGTTTTATTTGGGGTATTATTTAGGGTTTCATTTAGGGTTTCTTTAGAGTTTTATTTAGGGTTTCATTTAGGGGGTTTCTTTACGGTTTCATTTAGGGTTTCTTTAACATTAGGGTTTCTTTAGAGTTTCATTTAGGGTTTTTTCCGGTTTCATGTAGGGTCTCTTATCAGGATTTCTATTCGGGAATTCTGAACGTTCAAATGGGTTTCCTTAGGGTTTCTCTAGGGTTTCATTTAGGGTTTCTTTTGGGTTTCTTTAGGGTTTCGTTTACGGTTACATTTAGGGGTTCATTTAGGGGTTCATTTAGGGTTTCTTTAGGGTTTCAGTTTGGGTTTCATTTAGGGTCTCATTTAAGGTTTCTTTAGGGTTTCATTTAGAATCTCTTTAGGGCTTCTCTAGGGTTTTAGTTAGAGTCTCATTTAGGGTTTCTTTATGGTTTCATTTAGGGTTTCTTTAGGGTTTCATTTGGGGTTTCAATTTAGGGTTCAATTTAAGGTTTCATTCAGGAATTCATTTAAGTTTTCTTTAGGGTTCATTCCTGTGTTTCTTATCATGACTTATTTTCAATATTTCTAAACGTTCAAGTGGGTTCCTTTAGGGTTCCTTTAGGGTTTCATTTAGGGTGTCATTTAGGGTTTCTTTAGGGTGTCGTTTAGGATTTCATTTAGGGTTTCTTTAGGGTTTCGGTTTGGATTTCATTTAGGGTCCCATTTAACGTTTTTTTAGGGTTTCATTTAGAGTTTCTTTAGGGTTTCATTTTAGATTTCTTTAGGGTTTCAACTTAGGGTTTCAATTTAAGGTCTGATTCAAGAGTTCATTTAAGTTTTCTTTAGGGTTTCATTCCAGGGTTTCTTATCAGTATTTCTTTTCACGGGTTCTAAACGTTCAAGTGGGTTCCTTTAGGGTGTCATTTAGGGTTTCTTTAAGGTTTCTTTAGGGTTTCATTTAGGGTTTCTTTAGGGTTTCATTTAGGGTTTAGGGTTTCATTTAGGGTTTCTTTAGGGTTTCATTTAGGGTTTCTTTAGGGTTTTTTTAGGGTTTCATTTAGGGTTTCTTTAGGGTTTCAATTTGGGGTTCAATTTAAGGTTTCATTCAGGAATTCATTTAAGTTTTTTTAAGGGTTCATTCCTGGGTTTTTTATTATGATTTTTTTTCATGATTTCTAAACGTTCAAGTGGGTTCCTTTAGGGTTCCTTTAGGGTTTCATTTAGGGTGTCATTTAGGGTTTCTTTAGGGTGTCGTTTAGGGTTTCATTTAGGGTTTCTTTAGGGTTTCGGTTTTGGTTTCATTTAGGGTCCCATTTAAGGTTTTTTTAGGTTTCATTTAGAGTTTCTTTAGGGTTTCATTTAAGGGTTTTTTTAGGGTTTCAACTTGGGGTTTCAATTTAAGGTCTCATTCAAGAGTTCATTTAAGTTTTCTTTAGGGTTTCATTCCAGGGTTTCTTATCAGTATTGTTTTTCACGAATTCTAAACGTTCAAGTGGGTTCCTTTAGGGTGTCATTTGGGGTTTCTTTAAGGTTTCTTGAGGGTTTCATTTAGGTTTTTTTTAGGGTTTCATTTAGGGTTTCTATTTAGGGTTTCATTTAGGGTTTCATTTAGGGTGTCAATTTAGGGTTTCATTTAGGGTTTCATTTAGGGTGTCAATTTAGGGTTTCAGCTAAGGTGACAGTTTAGGTGTCATTTAGTTTTTTTTAGAGTGTTGTTTAAGGTTTTTTGGGATGTTATTTGGAGTGTCACCTAAAGTTTCTGTAGGGTTTCACTTATGGTTTCTTCAGGATTAATCGATGGTTTCTTTAGGGTTCATTTATTGGTTTTTGATGGTTCATTTAGGGCTTCATGTAGGGTTTCTTATCAGGATTTTTTAGGGTTTTTTTGGGTTTCACTTGGGGTCTCTCTAGGGTTTCATTTGGGATACAAACAGACCAGAATAAAGCAAAAGAAAATGAAAAACAAAAAGACTGTAAAGACAGGAAGCAAAAAAGCAAAGGAGCAGGGAGTAGAGCAGCAAAAACACATGACTGAAGAAAAAAAAAGTAGAATAGTAGAAGTAGAAAGGGCCAGAAGTAGAAAGGACCAGAAGTACAAAAGCAGAGAAGCAGGGAAAACAGGAAAAGCAAAAAGCAGAAAAGCAGAGAAGCAGGAAAAGCAGAGAAGCAAGGAAAGCAGGGAAAACTAAAAGCAGAAAAACTGAAAAACAGAGAAACTGAAAAGCTGAAAATTGGCGAAACAGGAAAGGATAGAACCAAGAATCCAAAAAAAACAAGACCTGCCGCAAAAAAACACAAAAATAAATAGCCCTCCATACATAAATGTAATCATTTCATTCCCCGCGTAACTCGGACTAATTGCAATGACCCAACAGGGTCCAAGAATTATTTCAATACCTCAATAATTCCTCATGTTTTTTTTCGCGTGATTCATCCCAAAATTTTCGGATTGAATCATTGGTTCAGAACGGCGACGTGGCTTGTGCCCCATGCCAGATACGGAGATGTTTGGTTCGTGGCTTTGATTGTGTCACGGCATAGCTAGCGCGCACGCCACTGGCACCACTGAAGGTCGGGAACAGCACAAATATTAAAACAAGGTATGTTTCAAGGGTTCCATGAAAATGTTCAATACAAATCGGCCAGCATTGTTCCATGCATGTTGTTTTTTTTTCTTAGGCAAAGGAGTTTTCGAAGTGAAACACCCAGGCGTTGCGAATCAAGTGGTGCCCAACACCAAATATGGCAATTAGGATGGCAACAGGATCACAAAAAACACGTTTCTTCAAATACGACCAGAATGCAAACATTTGTGTTCAGAATCGCCCCTTTTCCTTTGGATTTTTTCGCGCTGTCTTGTCGTGAGTTGGGTCGGAGGTGGATTTCCCTTTGTGAATTGCGTTGCGGTTTGTGAATTTAAACCCACGCTCCTGCGCGCAGCTCGGCTGAACAACAAAGCGTCACCCCAAATATGCGGGGAATAAAAAACAAACATTTTATCCACGTTGAAACGACATAATAATAATTATCAATCATAAAAAAGAAAAGCAAGATTAATAGTAATTATAACCATCATCATCATCACCACCATCATCATCAACATCATCATCATAACCATAATCATATTCATAATCATCATTATTAACATTAAAACAAAAATAATGCTCGTAGATACAAAAAAACAACAATAAATAATAATGATAACAATAAAAAAATAATCGTAATAAAATAATAAAGATAATAGTACCAATAACGACAAAAAACAAATACTAATATGAATGATGAAAAAGTAACAAGAATAAAAACAACAATACATTTAAAAGATAAAATAAAAACCATAATTTGCCGTATATAGTAACTCTTCAGTCGGGTTGATCAGTCCCATGCTCACCATCCTCTTCGGCGTCTTGTCAATCTTCTGGAAGGCAGTGGCCAGACCGTCCTGCAACGCACGAACACCACCCTCGGTCACGAACTCTTTAAAACTTGATGCCTCTTGTCTCGGCCTGAGACTGCATTTCTTGGCATCGTCGGTGGCATTGACAGCGGTCATCAGTTCCTTTTGTTCAGAGGCATTGAAGACTGAGGCACTGAAGACTGAGGCACCTGAGATGGCCTCGAGCACGGTGGCTGCACTCTCATGTGTCCAGGCGTGCTGGCGCAGCTTTTTTTGGAGGCTCTGAACCTGCTGAGCCTTCACCTTGACAAACTGCCCATTCTGGAGACCAAGTTTCAATTCTCCAGGTACGTCGCCCCTGGACTTGTTCCACAGAATCGTGGGCGCTGGAAGTAGATGGAACCGTTCACAAAAGATTCATTCTTCTCGGTTTTGGCTCTGCAGGTGGCCCATAGCCCCGCATGTGTCTTTGCGTGCCTGAGGAGATGGCCCGCCATCAGCAGCGGGGGCGGATCTTCTTGCACGGTTGCGAATTTTGTTCCCGCAAGGGTCGTGAAGAGGGCCTTGTCCTTGCCGTTCTCAAGGATGGTCACGTCGCAGTTCACCAGCAAGGCGGGCGGCACCTCTCGGACGATGGCTGCAGCGCGCAGCAAGTCCTTTGTTTAGCCACAGGCACCGTCCAGCAGGTCCAGTCCTTGGACCCCGTAGTGGCCCCCGTCCTCCTCTGCAGTAATTGGGATTTCGAAGCAGACAGCCAGCACACCGGGTTTTTGCAACCACAGGGTAAAGCCAGCAGCTGGGCGGCACATCGAAGTCTTCTACATCAGCTCTCCACCTGTTCCACTCTTATTGCTCCGTTCGCGAGGTTCGTTCTATATTAAAAGAATAACGGCGCGCGATAACATAATTAAACTACTGAGAAGCGGCTTAAACACACGGCGACGATTCAATCCTTCCAGGTTTGCGCCACAGGGGCTGTCAACATGACACCACCGGAACGGAGGTTCCAACCCCAAGGAGACAAACCCAAAATTCCCTCAGTAAGTCTCACATCCAGATTGCGCTCTCCTTTTAAAAGAGGAATGGAATTGGTGGATGCGGTTTTTCTACGGGTGCCAAATTCGTTGGCGTTTTTGTCTATTCCGTTGAACTTTTTTGTCTGATTCTATCTTGGGGCAAAAGTTTGTAAGAAAGGCAAAGTTCTTTCACAAGTCACGCTGCCATTTACTGCTCGCAATACAAATGCCGCTGTTTGTCGCCACGTTTCGGTTTAACTCGGTTTGGCGTAATTTTTTTTTAAGGTTGTTGATTGATGGTTGGTTTCAATTTAATTTTCTTTGCGGTTGGTTTTGGTTTATGGTGCGTGCACGGTTTGATTTGTTTTTTCACGTTCGGTTGCAATCTTGAAAGGGGCGGTTTGAAGTTTATTTAGGGTTGGTTTATGGTTTGGTTACAGTTGTTTGTGGTCCACACCGAAGGGTTCTTCGGTAGGAGTAAAGGCCGGTCCTTGATCAGGGTGCTCCAACTGTTTGCCGTTTTTTTCTGCAAATTCTCACATAAAATTTCTCTTGTGACATGTCCATGCGCATTTCCACTGCACAAGCTAGCACAAAGCCTGCGCCGCGAATTTTCCTTGATCTTGGTCTACGGCATTTTCCCTGACAACTCTCGCATAAAATGTCTCTTGTGACATGTCGATGCGCATTTCGACTGGGCAAGCTCGCACAAAACGGTTGTTGCAGCCTTGGCCTGCGGCATTTTACTTCAGAATCTCGCGTAAAATGGTTCCTGCAATCTGTCCATTTCCATTTCGACTGCGCAGGCTCGCACAAAACGGTTGTCGCAGCCTTGGTCTGCGACATTTTACCTGAAAATTTTCGCGTAAAATGGCTCTTGTGACATGTCGATGTGCATTTCGACGGCGCAGACTCGCACAAAACGGTTGTCGCGGTCTTGGTCAGCGGCATTCTTCCTGAGAATTCTCGAATAAAATTGCTCTTGCGACATGTCCATGTGCCTTTCGACTGCGCACGCTGGTAAAACGATCCCTTTGGAACACAGATAAAGGCATCACTTTGGAACACAGCCATTGTGGCATAGTTTTGGAACACAAACTGCTACATCACATCAGGCCTCAGCCAACAAACCAGACATCAGATTTTCTGACAGGCGCATCACTTTGGAAGGTTCACGCGATCCAAAGCAATACCTCTACCAAAGAACAACGCCAATGAGAGATTTAGTTCTTACATCATCCCTTCCACTGTCATGGTGGGGGGAAGAGAGAAGGTTTTACAAACAGCAATTTAGGGTTTATCTGTGGGGAGCGGGGGTTCAGAACCAGCCATGTAGGGTTTATTGGGGAGGTGGACATTCTTCAGTTTTCTTTCCCTCTGAAGGTTCTTACTCCTCTCTTGCCTTGGGCATCCCTATGCTCACAGCAACATCAGCAACCATTTAAAGTTGAGGGGAAGTTTAAGACCTAGCCATTTAGGGTCTATTGGGGGGGAACATTCTTCAGTTTTCTTTCCTTCGAAGGGTTCCTACTCCTCTCTTGCCTCCTTATGCTCACAGCATCAATCTAAAATTTAAGCTTTATTTGGGGGAGAGGAGGGTGACACAACCAGCCATTTAGGGCCTATTTGGGGGGAACATTCTACTTACATCATCCAATTACTTTTGAAAGCTGGAACCACTCATTCCACTTTTAAAGCCTCTTCCTCGTCTTTGAAAGGAAACCCGGGCAAGCAGCACGGCAAAACAAAACAACGGACAAAAGAGAGAAGCAAACCAACCCAAAAAAAAAAAACACAAGAAGGTAGGACAACAAAAGCCTGAACTCACCCCACCTTCCCGGTAGTTCATGATGATGATGATGATGATGATGATGATGATGGTGATGATGATGATGATAATGATGATACATACATATATATATATACCTATGCCTTCCTGGTGCTCCTTTTTTGGTTTTTGCCTGAAACAGCACTTATTTTGGTCGTTGCTGTAAAAAAACGTTGCTGCCTCCCAAAAACGTTCTTGCTCCAAATGATCAAGAATAGCCAGGATGAAAGGAAACCAACAAACCTGTTGCAGGTGACAGTGATGCCACAGCTGATCAATTGGAAACAAAGTGGATTGACATGGTTTGGATGGGTTGTGAGCCCTCGATTTGCAACCTTTCGTACCATTTCACTGTGATTCGGACATTTCAAAAACAACCAAAACTATCCGAAACTGGGGTACGGGTAAAAACGCTTTTGTATCGGGAAGAAACGCTTTTGTCTCGGGAAGAAACGCCTTTGTATTGGTTCAAAGCGCCGTCACCAAAATTGTTTTGCCACGGAGGCCCATCAACAAACGTTAGTTTTCAGCACAGAGCTGCTGTGGCTCAATGTTTGCTTTAAAAAAAGTCTGGTGGAGACATCATTTATTTCCACCCGAAAATCGTGAGGGATTTGGATGTCCTTGCACGATGGGACAGTGCTCAAAACGAACAATGGATGTGGATGACAAAAATATTCAAAAATGACAAAAAAGGTCCGAGAGCAGAATTGAAGATAAGTGGTGCAGAAAAGCATTTCTGACAGGAAAAGCAGAAATTAGTAACATGTGAGAAGCCCTAGGTATACACCCTCTCTCACATTGCGAAAAGTCGTATCGCCGAACCGACGGCCGACCAGCTTGTGTGGGCCGCCGATCCACTAACTGTACATTAGTACATTACCAGAAAGCCGGGAGCCGGAGAGCGCCGAGCCCGGACCGATGTCTGAAAAGAACCAGCAAATCGTCCACCACAGGGGGGGAAAGGGGGACACACCCCACACACGAGAAACCAGCAAAAGCAGCACCCAAAGACGCCAAACTACCCGCACCGACCGACCCCACAGGAAGGGCCTCACAGGCAACCAGGTGGCGCACCCAAACACGATACAAAGTCTCATCAGCCAAACGCCATCGACCATCGTACCAGAAAGGGGGCAAAGACCCAGTGTCAAAGACGAACTGCCACAGCAGCTCCAGAGCAGAGATCTCAGTCCACCCACCTCCAGACCCAGGATACCAGCGCAGAGACGACAGCCACTCAGACAGTTTAAGAGTGAATCCATCATGCAACCACAGCGCAACATCCGCATCGCCAATGGTTGACCCACGACCGACCACCTCGAAAAGGGATGCATCCGGCACAACTCTCTCGCCCCGAGGTTCAGCGCAAAAGAGCTTAGCCAACCCAACATGAAAGCTAGTGCGGTCAACCTGCTGAAACAAAGCCTGATAGGACGCCCCGCGCGCAAAGGCCCGCACACAAGTCTTGGCCTCCCGGTCAGCGTAAGAGTTAAAGAGAGCCAAGATGCGTTGATGTCCTTCGAGCTCTGCAGGATTCTGATGCACCTCAACCCACCGAATCACCACCTTTCCCCAATTCATGCGGCAGTCTGTGCCCACGCTGCCAAGCCGGCAACCGCAACAACTGTTCCGCAATACGCACCACAGCTGAGTTATCACAGAAAATGGTTTCCTTTCCAAAAGAACCGACCGCAACACAAATGGCCAGCACCTCAGCCCGATAGCTAGACTGATCAAGCCCAGGCACAATCCCAGCCCAAACAACCTGATACGCCCCCGGGCTAGCCAAGATGACCGCACCACCAGACAAACGAAGCTTGGGCTTGGTAGGGAACAGACAACTACCATCCGTAAAGACGAATTGTCTGGCCTCGCAACTGGATGTGAAAACCTGCGGCAACTTAAGCCCACACAGTTGCGCCTGCCAGTCTCTCAAGCCAACAGTTTCATCCCAAATGCCGTACGCCCAAGTATGATCCGGCAGAGACTGACCATCCAACTCCTTCAGGAGTGAAGCGCGCAGTTCACCACCGGCCACACAGTATTTTGCACGATGGAGACGAGAATCAGGTTCACCATATAGGGGACATGCATTGGAAACCTGGACACCTTCCGCATGTGCAAGGCAGTCCCGAGTAAATGTGACACCTGTAAGTTGCGAAAGAAGCAACGAGCGGTCCCCAAGAGGAAAGCGTTGCCACACTTTGGAGAGCTCAGCATCAATGACCTGAATCTCCCCACAATCTTTTCTGTGAGTCAGATTGCTACCGACCTTCTGCAGCCATGATGACTCCACAACACGCTTCACCGCCTTAAGAGGCGTGTTCACAAGGTGGAAACATCTGCCGTGGTCATCAGAGGCCACCAGCCCCTGCACAATCCATTCGAACGAGCGGAGCTGTCTTGAAAGAAGGAAAGAAACACCCCGCGTAGCCGAGCGCAAAGCGCAAAGACCCTTTTGCATACGCGGACGCGCGTCCGGAAAGTCACGCCACATGAGGCGAAACAACCTCAACCTTTGAACAAGGAGACAAAACTCGGGGTCAACAAGTTGGGGACTACCGACCGAACAAGCTAACCACGGGCTAACCCCTTGTTTGGCGATGGAGGCAACCCGCCCCGCTTGCGTACGCAACCGTTTAAGAACCGACTTCGGCACAACACAAGTCTCACTACCATGCAGACATTGCGGCCAGATGCCAGACATGATGAGCCTGGACTTTTGCCACTTACTACCAGGCAAACCTTTCGCCAGTTGCAACCTGCGATGCCCAGCCTTGATTCTCAAGTTGCGTTTTGCTGCGGCACGTCTTTTGCAGTAAGGCATATCGGCCCCAAGGTCAACTGCCTGCAACCGCACCGGGATATGAGAATCCCCAGACGCAACCTGTTTGAGCCGTTTGTGCCCATTTTTACCAGCACTCCACAGCCAGCACTTCTCAGGCGAAACAGGTAAAGCGCA